GGGGGGGGTTGAAGGGCCGGGGATTGAGGAGGGAGATTTTGTTTTGGAGGGGAGGGTTGGATGAGGGTTGGGAGTTGGGAGGTTTGGTTTGTAGAGGGTGGTGGGAGGAAGGAAAGTGACGGTAGAGTCTTGGTGTGAGAAGAAGGGGGTATGGTACTGAGAGATGAAGCAGGTTGTGAGGTCACGGGATTGGGGGAGGGAGGTCGTTCACCTTTTCGGCTTCGACATCACGCACTTCATTGACCTTGACGTCGTGGCTTGACATCTGATTTCTTGTGTCTATCCATTTGAAGAGGTGGGGATGGGAGGGTAGGGAAGATCACGAGATTTCCCTCATTTCTTTTGGGGGGTTTGTTTGGCGTGTTCTTCACTTTCGAAACTCCAACTCTCGAATCCTTTAAACTTCTACTCGCACGTCGAGACTCGGTCTCTATCATCCAGCTTCTGATAAGACGAGTTGATGTAGAGAAAGTCACGAGATCTCAACCCCCCTCAGATCCCCCTTCAATCGTCTTCTACAACAATCCTCACGTCCTCACTTTCACCACTCCGTCCTCACACCACTTTCACCAAAACACTATCACCTCGATCTCTACACTCTCACCTCATCTCTATACCTTCACATCCGCCCTCTGCCTCTCAGCAATACTAGTTCAACGAGGAGATCTGGTCTTACATCCACCTCGCCGTCACGAAGTTTACAAAAATCAATTTGTTTACTTCCCTACCCCCCTCGCCATCCCTCGATTAGACGGATACGAGGGGTCGTTGAGGTGTATCTCGGCGAAGAGATAAGGCGAATTGGTTTGTGGTGGATTATGGGAGAGGAGGAGATTGAGTCGTGGAGATCTGGATTTCGATCTCGTCAAGCATCACTGCAAAGCGCATGTGCTTAACCTAATTTCCGTTGTACGCGCGGAAGCCGATCTCTACAGCCTCAGACACAGCTTGAAGTTGGGGTTTAGTTTGATCTCGCCGTCGACCTCGGTTTCGCCTTTTGTCAAGGTTCCATGGGAAAAAGAGGCACTTATCCACCATCTGTTGTTCGCATCATCATCCCTCATCCCAGTTTCAAAAACCTCAGAGCCCAACTCCCATCAGATCTCACCTCCGCAAACCTCGCCACCCTACCTTGAAGGCTCTGATTTTCGAGGATTGTTGTCCGATCAAGTGAGTTGTCTGGTAGGGTTTAGGAGCGGTGCTGATGGGTGATAGGTTTTTGCGGTTTGATAGGTTGGGTTGGTGGATTGGAGAATCTGTGGGGTGCGCTGTTGGGGAGTCTTGAGGGGTGAGACTAGGGGGAACTGAGGGAGGCATTGTTGGTCTTTGGGAGAGGGTTTGGTATGGGATTGGTGAGTTTCTTGGGAGGGGTTTGGGGTTGATACTGACGATCCACAGGCAACACTTCAGCGATGGAGTATACACCACCAACAATCTGCTCCTGCGGCAGAGATTTCGCAAATCTACAAGCCCTAGAACAACACACACGTTACTGGGGACACTCATCTGCATGGGAATGCGATCCTTGCGAGAGAATATTTTTGAGCTTCACGGCCAAGAAAAGCCACGATGGAGCAAAACATCAAAAGTCACCATGCCCCTATTGCAGGAGAGTTTTTAACGGTGAAACTGCGAGAAGTTTCCACGTCGAAAGCGAGCATGCCTGGCCTTGTTGGGCGTGCAAGACTGGTTTCGCGACGAGAAAGCTGTTGGGTGACCACTTGTATATCGTGAAGGAGTGCCGGAGGGGGAGGAAATGGGACGAGCAACAACAGAAGATCCTTGAGAATCTTGCCAGCGAAATTCTTAGGAGTCAGCAAGCACCCTCGGCCGGCGTGAGATCTAATTCTGTTTCTCCTGTCGATGAACCTGTCACCCCAGCTACTAGTACTGAGCGAGGGACGTTTACTGGTAGTTTGGGGACAAACGACACTTCGGCGTCCTCGAATCCATCACTTCCTCAAAAGACCAACCCTGTTGTCCTCGAAACTGCACAGCTCCCGCCACCTTGGGGATTGACTGAAGCAGAGATATTCGGGAGGACTTCGAAACCTGGATTGCATGTGGGAAATTCAGCTGCTGCTAGTCAAAATAATCAACCACTCGGAGTAGTTGAACCCAAAAGTAAACCTGCTGAAACAGAAAACCAAAGAAGACCAGTTACTCCACCTCGCTCCGATCAAGAGTCTTATAAAATACCCCAGAGACGCGATGATGGACAGTACTCGCTGAATTTTGAGTCATCCACGACAAAGAACGAGGTTAAAGATACTGCCCTTCTCACGTGCGGTGTTAAGGATTGCTTTACACAAGGTTTGACGTTTTACTCTAAGCACCAGCTTGAGACACACAATTCATTCTGTCACCAAACTTTACAAGACATTGAGAAGAAATGTCCAAAGGCTGAAAGTTCTGAACTCAGTTCTAAATCAACGAGCGATTCGAATTCGAGTCTAAGTCAGTCCTCAACGAAGCTCTACACTTGCGACGAATGGTCTTGTCGGAATCCGCCCTGCCATTCTCAGCAAGAGTTGGATGAGCACACGAAGCAAAAACACCCAGTTATACCAAAGCCTACGGTTACCGAGCAGCGTGCAAATGTTGCGGAAGAAGTTTCAAAAACAAAAGATGACTTCTTTACAAATGTAGGAGCTTCTCGTGTCGAATGTCCGATCTGCGGCGAGATGTTTAGTAACGAAGACGAATTGGGTGCTCACAAAAAATCAGAACATTTCAAATTCCGATGTCAACATTGCAACTTGTCTTTCAACTTCAAGCTCAATTTTCAGGAGCATGTCAAAACTGATCATCCACCATTGCAATTCAAATGTACAACATGCAACGATGTTTTCGACAGCGAGGTTAAACGACAGGACCACGACCGAGACGTCCACCCACCCCCACGGCTGGGTTGCAGCAAATGCGAAAAAAAATTTGTCAAGAGAAGCGAGTTGGATCTTCATACGGTACAGGATCATCCTCTTCCAAAAGTCCAACCACCGAAATCCAGTCAGTCCTTTGGCACAGAAGCTAGCTTGAAAAAGGATATTCCACTTACTCGTCCACCACCGAAGCTCAATCGCGACGAATGTGATGAGGTTTTCAACGACGAAGCTGAGCGGAAGCTTCATAAGTCCCGTAAGCATGCGGTACCGGAATGGAAATGCGACAAGTGTGAGCGGGCTTTTCATGTCAAAGAGACTTTGGAATTTCATCAAAAAGCTTTCCATCCACCACCGAAGTTTGCTTGCAGCGAATGCAATCAAGTCTTCACCGACGAAGCGGATTTGAATGGCCATAAATCTCAGAAGCATCCAGAGCCGAAATGGAAGTGCAACAATTGTGTGTATGCTTTTCATGTCAAAGGAGATTTGGACGTTCACCAAAAAATCGCCCATCCAAAACCGAAAGTCAAGTGCGGAAAATGCGACAAGTTCTTCGACAGTAATGCTGAACTGGCGAAACATATGGTCGTCCACACGTGCAATGAGATGGAAGAGTACGGCAGCAAGGAACGCGCTCCACGTCCAGAACATAAGTGTCCGCATTGCAAAACTCTACTTGCTTCGAATGCGGAGCTGTTTGAACATATCACGGCGGAAGGTGTTCATCGCTTCTCGTGTAAAGAGGAGGGATGCAGTTCGTGGTTTTTCACGTTGGGGTTGCTGGATGCGCATGTTAATAATTGTCATAGCTTGCTTTGAATTACGCGAAACAGGGGATTTATAGAGGCGTGAGACTGGCGGATCTATGGAAGAAAGTAGTGTTGAGATTTTGCTCGAGATGGTGGCTTGTTGATGGCTTTGTTGAGTTTTCACGCGAGGACGTGTTTGAGGGTATGTTGATTTGAGGTCGAGAGGAGAATTTGTGTTGAGATGTTGCTTTTATTTGCTGAATGGAGAATGGAGGATCTATACTACTGGCCGAGTAAAGGCGAAGAACTGGATTTGCCACGTATATTTGAGAAGATTGGTGGCTAAAGGGAGAGGGACTGTACTTGCTTCATGGATGTTGTAGTTAATGGAAAGAATTGCTATGATAGCTTGGTAGAAAGGAGTGAGGTTCTGAAATGAAAATGAAGACTTCATGATTTCCCTGACATTATTAAAAAGTGAAAACATTTATCAATCGATGTCTCGATTCCTTATAATCTCCAAGTGTCCGTCGTGATGTTAACTTGAACATGCGAAGCGAGGTCGAAAGGAAGAGCGATGTTCAATATTCAAGGCACACTTTATTTCATCTTCGACCTCGACGTTCTGGAGAGATGCTTTTTTTAATGAGATGATACAAGCTATGTTAATTGTGTACGCCCGGGGGTGGGAAGGTTGAAGGGGTATGCGGATTTGATGGGTGAGATGTTGCTTTATAGCGACGTTAAGGACATGGAACTTGCTTTCCTGTAATGGGTTACATCTGATTTCTAGAGCGCGGATTCGTACACAAAACGCGTGAGTAGACTATCACAGACGGTGCAAATCTCTGCCCCCGCGCAATGTTGGTATATGCAGTCAGCGTTGGAAATACATCTGGATAAATAAACACAACGTTGGTATCCATCACGCGCATATGCTAGGATAACGAAAAAGCGATATATCCAAATGTATCTCCATCTCTATTACACAATCTAACACTTATTCCTCGCTATCATCTATCCCGCCAATATGGCTACCCCCAAGACATTGACTGAGCTCTCCGCCCTAATCCACGAACATACAACAAAGGTAGAAGCGTATTACACCACGCACAACCTCCCCGCTCCATCTTTCCACCCTTCCACGCCTCTGAAAACGGTTCTCCCTAGCGATATCGAGACGTCGCGACAAATCGTACTGGAAGCTATGGATGAGCTCACAGCTCTAATGCTCGGGCCAGTGGAATGTCTGATTCCACCTGTAAACCTTCTTCTTTCCCATAAAACTGAGGTAGCGAGCTAACAAGAGATGGATGAATAGCCCAATGCATGGATTTGCGTTACAGCACTTCAAAGATTTGGTATTGCGAAATCTTTCCCGATCACGGAGTCCTCTACATTTGGCGAAATTGCCCAGAAGTGTTCGATCTCGGAATCTGATACTCGCCGCATCGTACGCCAGGCAATTGCGTTTTATATCTTCACGGAACCATCACCAGGCGTGATTGCCCATACCGCGGCGTCGAAAGCACTGGCTCAACTCCCGGCTGTGGGGGCGTTTATTGATTTTATTGCCGGGGAGATGCTACCAGCATCTACTCGGTTGGTTGACGCTATGCAAAAGTGGCCTGGCTCGGAAGAACCAAACGAAGCTGGTTTTGCGCTGTCTGAAGGGACGGATTTTGCCATGATGGAGGTCGTGACTCGAGATCCAAAGCGAGCGCAATGCATTGGTACCGCGATGACCTTCTTGCACAGTCGCCCCGAGTACGATGTTAAATACCTGCTCGATACTTTTCCCTGGGATAATGCCGCGAGGGGCGTTTTGGTAGATGTTGGGGGAGCTAAAGGAGACGTCGCCGTTGATATTTGCAGAGCTTTGCCGGATGTCAAGTGTGTCGTGCTTGATAAACCGGAGGTCATATCTGGCGCCGTCGTGCCGGACGATGTAGCTGGAAGAATCGAGTTCCGGGGCCATGATTTCTTTGAAAAATGTGATGTGAGAGCGGATGTGTATTTGTTGAGACATGTGTTACATGATTGGAGTGATAAGTATGCTGCGAAGATCCTGGGGAATTTGGTGCCGAGTCTTAGGACGGGGGCGAGGATTTGCGTGATGGACATGTGTTTGCCTGCGCCGGGGAGCGTGTCGCCGTTTAGGGGGAGGGTTGCGAGGTTAGTTGAGCTTCTTTATTTTCTGGGTCTGAACTTGTTTTTGCTCCAGCGTTTTGGATGGTTTTTGCTCTCATATTTGATCGTGAATTTGGGATGGTAGGGTGTTAATGAGTGAGTTTAGAAACTCGGTTCTTTATATGAAAGGGATTCAGAATGCGAAGGAGAGGGATGAGGAGGATTTTCGACAACTTTTCGAGTCTGTGGACTCGAGATTCCGATTCGATGAGGTGATAAAGCCGGAGGGAAGTGCGCTGGCACTGATTTGTGTGACCTGGATGGGTGAGAATGGGGTTTGAGGGAGTCAGAAGAACGGAGAATTTGTGCGTTCAAGGGAGTGACGGAGTGATAGAAATGATTGTATGCTTGTGTGATATGCAACATTCTTTTGAGTTCCCTGACATTTTGTTCCACGTAAACAGCAATCTTGACATGGAACAATAACCGCCCGAAGGAAGGCGAATGCTGCCTGCCACCCGCCGGTGATTTTGAAGACTAATTAAGTCTGTAATGAAGTATCGAGAGTCATCGACGGCATGAATCTGACATTGGGCTCGGCTTTTCGTTCAGTTCTGAGCTGTACTCGGCCAGATGTAAAGCATAAGAATGATACAATCTCAAGGCTTGATGAAAGCTAAAGAGTCGATTCTCGTTCCCGTCACAGCCCAATACCCGCCGCCTTCAACACCTGGAAGAAGTGACCGAGTGGCATGCGCATTTCGTCTTTCAGATACCACCCTTGTTGCAAGCATATTCCCCCAGCTCTCGCTTCAAGTCCTATCCTCGGCCTGTCTCAGCCGTTCACTCCTTTGGCCTTCCTAACCCCTTCAACCTCAAGTAAACATCACTACCCCATCCATACAAACTCTGTACAGCAATACCGCCTCCGAAATACTCAGCATAGGCTCTTCCAAGAGGCAATCCATAGCCAAGTCCAGCTATTGAGCTACTCTCTCCACCAGCACCAGACAATACATTCAGAGCATCCATATTTCCACTGCCAGGTGTTTGACCCGGGAAATCATCAGCGTCGGAGAATGTGGTGAAAGAGTATGACCAGATGTTGGGAAGAACATCAGGACTGATTCCACCGCCGCGATCACGTATTCGTATTGTGACACCTGGTGCTGGATCGTCGAATGGTTTTATACTTGCACTTTCTGGCGATTCTGAGGAGATACCATTCTCGAGTCGTCGGTTGTGATCTAGTACGGCTGATCCTCTCTCTGTGGTCTCTGGTTCGGCAGCAATTGTTATGATAATTGGTTCGTGAGACTTGCCAGATTCCACAGTAGCTCGGAAAGCATTCTTCAATAGCTCGGTTATAATGTATTCCAAATGGACCGGTACGTATGCGAATGTAGTATTTGGCTCTCCATCAATAATCCACGTCGGTCGAACACCATATTTAAGTTCGCAAATCTCCGAGACAAAGTTCGCACATGAATTGATAATGCTAGCTGGTTCCAACGCCGTATCTATCACACCAATATACGACGATGAAGGATCTGGTATTTGATCTTTCGAATCTGGGTGTTGATGAGGCTGAGATGACATGTGAAGAGCAATATGTTGTTCAGCGATCAATCGTGTCCCAATTCGCGCCCGTAGATGCTCATCAAGAAAGCGCGTCACTTCCGCCGGATTGACATATTTTCTGCATTCAAGGAATCCCCTTGCTAACGTAGGTATGGTATGCGCGTGTGTGTTTACAAGATCTGCGAGGACTTCGGTAAATTTGATTTCATCTTCGAGGGTTGATATGGTTTTTGATTTGTAGGGTAATAATGTCGACAGAGAGTGCAGGTAATTGTTGTAGATCTTTGAGATGTTCGGGTTGGATACTACGATAAATGGGAGATTTCGGAGAGCTTGGATTCGATGTGCGAGACGGATTGGGAGGAGGGATAAGGTGAAGTTGGCGGAGGAGAAGAGAGCGGGCGCGTGGAGGGGGGGTCGGCCATGCCTGGGAGATCTTAGCAGGATATACTCAGAGGTAAGTGAGGATCTTACTTGACAAGATCAGCAAGACTTAGGGTGTGTAATGGCTTGCTTGCTAAACTTGCGACATCGTCGTCTGAGATCACTGTCGAGCTCGGGGGATGTGACCAGCGGTGAGCAGAAGGAGTTGGATGTCGTGAATGATGCGATGATATCGCGAATCTCCTTGATAAAGAGTGATGAGGATTCAGTATGGGTATTTGCCGTAAAGGCCGCCGAGAAAATGTCATCTTGGTGGCATTGTCGTGGAGGGGGGTTGTTACTTAGAAACACATAAATCGAGGTGAGCAATTGAAGATCGCAGCCTCGGTTAGAACAAAGGCCTGGATAACGCCTTTATCGCGCCTCATCAAGAGTTATAATTCAAATATATTCCACAAGCCAGATTGAGTCAACGAATTTATAATAATTTGTTTTTCGTTATCGTGACTTGTATGCTAGCTACCCCCGTAGACTCCTATCCCATGTGCCTTCCCAAATTGCCCTTGTTTACAACACCTACTGTGTCTTAACTTCTCCGTCAATCTCGGCAGATGATACATGTTTGCTGTCGGAAAGGACGCTGACGCTATCTTTTGGGAACTTAATACTATACAAATGTTAGCATATATGCAGCGGAATGACATGGAATACTGTTGTCAGGGAATTAAACGTACGTGAACCCAGTCATGATAGGACGCTTCTTTGGATATTTTCCTCCTTGCTCTTCAGCGAACTTGATGGCTCTATAATATGTGAGTTGATGATCGTAGATATTATAACACCGACATATCAACTTACGGCTCGATATCCTCTGCGGTGTGGCAGCAGATCTAGAATCGAATCAGTATGTATTGGACCCCTCGCTATGAAGTAAACATCAACGTACAAGGTGCTTAACAAGGTTGTTCTTCTTGGTGTAATCGAGCTCCTCCTGATCAGTGTCACCGTCGTAAGCCATCTTGTTTGATTGTTTATAGGTTTAAGGTGTTGAAGAGAGTTGTGTATGTGATTGAGAAGGTTGAGTACTTGTTTGTAGATGCGGGGAGTATGGAGGGGTCAAGTAAAGGACAAGGCTTATATATCTACGCGGCTGCCAAGTTTCACTCTGGTAGATGGCATGGCTTTCTGCTGGTCGGCTCTATGAAACTCCTCTCATAAACCTGTGTTACCCGCAACCTGCAAGCTGAGGTACGTCATCAAAGGTGGGCGTTTGTTAATTATGGTCAGCCGAAGTAGCTGCCTGACAGCACACATGCAGTCTCAAGGAATATGCTGCTAAAAGCTCCATCTTCTAAGCCAGATATCGAATCAGAACTCCTTTATATTTGTTTTGCGTCGTTGCTGCTCATGGTTTGCTACCCGTCAAAGTGATGCACGATTCAGGTGGGGAAGGGGGGTAAACTCGGACGCGAGACCCTGATCTTATCGATAAGAGTATCCACCTACGAGCTGGCGCTGGCGTAGTTTACGGGTCCGTGCACGTTTTCGAGAAAAAAGTTCAAGTCGGAAGTTCAGAGCGTAGAATTCGAGCTGTAGTTTGCAGTCCCAGCCGCCATGGAGAACCAGCAGAACACAGCGCATAGAGCGACGAAGGAGAAGAAGAAACATACTGGGGGTTCGTGTCTTTCCTACAAAGAATTAAGAAGACTCAGCTAACATTAACCCAGAACGCAATCCAAAGGCTTTTGCCTTTGCAAACCCAGGTAGATTAGCAAAGTCTGCTGCTCGGTCGCACGATGTATATTTGAATCTTCCCTCTTGTTTTAACTTTGCTAATCATCATGTAGATTAAAGAAAAGAGACTCCATGTACCGCAGATTGATCGAATACCAGAAGAGCCCCCACCACGCCTTGTTACAATCGTTGGACCACCTGGTGTAGGAAAAACCACACTTTTGAAATCTTTGGTCAAGCGATATGCAAAGGAAACACTCTCTGAGCCACAGGGACCGATCACAGTTGTCACGTCGAAGAAACAGCGGTTGACTTTCGTAGAATGTCCAAACGAATTGGAAGCGATGGTGGACATGTCTAAGGTGGCGGATATTGTATTACTGATGATTGATGGAAACTTTGGATTCGAGATGGAGACCATGGAATTTCTCAACATCTTGGCTTCCAGTGGTATGCCTGGAAACGTTTTCGGAATTCTCACACATCTGGACTTATTTCGAAAACCACAGACATTGAAGGATGCAAAGAAGAGACTAAAGAATCGATTCTGGAGTGAGCTATATCAAGGCGCTCATCTATTTTACCTTTCTGGAGTTATCAATGGCAGGTATCCAGATCGCGAAATTCACAATTTGTCGAGATTTATTTCTGTGATGAAAAATCCACGGCCGTTAGTATGGAGAAACTCACATCCTTATACTGTCATCGATAGCTTCCGAGATGTGACCCACCCAACGAAAATTGAGGAAGATTCAAAATGCGACAGAACCATTGTTCTTTCTGGATACTTGCGGGGTACCAATTTCGCCGCACAAGGACAACGCGTTCATATTCCCGGTCTGGGCGATTTTTCAATATCAGCTATGGAGTCATTGCCAGATCCATGTCCAACTCCATATATGGATCAGGTAGTTGCAAAAGCGACAGGAAAGACAGGACGCAAGCGACTTGATGAAAGGGAGAAGAAACTTCACGCACCGATGTCCGATAAAAGCGGGTTAAAGATTGATGGAGATACCATTTACATCACTCGGGAGAAAGGGTTTAATTTCGATGCAGATGGCAGCGATGATGAGCGTGGAGAAGGAGAGGAGCTCATTGTCAATCTACAGGGCGAGCGAAAGTTACTGGGAGAAACCGAAGAGGGAATTAGGTTGTTTGGTGGTGGAAGCACGATCAAGGCTTTACCAGAAGAAGAGAATACGGGACGCAAACAACAACGCTCGGCGCGATTTGTTGAACGTGAGCCTGAATCTGATGACGAGGACTTAGTGGACGACGAAGGGTTTGTCAGTGGTGATGAAGCTCAATCGGATGAACAGACTGAGATCACGGACGCCAAACTTGGAAAAGCTTTTCGAAAACCAAACGACAAAGCCGATGAAGATGTTGCCTTTGCTGACAGCGACTCGGACTTGGGTTCGTTATCTGGGGATGAATTGGATGATGAAGAAGATTCAGACGATGAAGATGCTTCTAGCGGGGAGGATGGGGCAGTGCGGTGGAAGACAAACATGTTGGAAACTGCAAAGAAACTGCACAACCAAAAGCGATCATACCGAACAGGAGATCTTGCCAAGTTGATGTACGACGAAGCATTGACACCCACCGAGGTCCTAGCTCGATGGAAGGGTGAGGTCGAGGAAGCAGAGGAGGAGGATATCGAAGATTCTGATGATGAGACATTTTTCAAGAAGTCTGGTCGTGAGAAAGAAGAGGAGCATTATGAAGACCGATCGATACCGAAACTAGACTATGAAGCCTTGGAAACAAAATGGTCGATCGATGAGAACCTTGAAATACTACGTCGCCGATTTGCGACAGCTGATTTATTACATGGGAAGCCATCGAAACATGATGGCAGCGATGATGAACACGATGAAGACGATGAAGACGATGAGGAGGAAAATGAGGATGATGAAGGAGATGGAGTGTTCGAAGATCTAGAGAACCCTCAAGAGGATAAACCAGATGACATCGAGGCTGAGCGGGAGAAAAACGCAAGGAGGAAAGAGGAACTCAAATTGCGGTTCGAAGAGGAGGATAGAGAAGGCTTCAATAACGATAAAGCGAATGCTCGCAGAGAAGGCGGCGTAGATGCTGAAGAATTTGGTGAAGACGACTGGTATGATGCACAGAAAGCGCAGATTCAAAAGCAGCTTGACATCAACAAAGCAGAGTTTGATGCGCTAGACGAGAATCAGCGAGTCAGCGTTGAAGGTTTCAGAGCAGGAATGTACGCCAAAATTGTCATCGAAAATGTTGCTTCCGAATTTGTTACACGATTCAATCCACGGATGCCAATTATTGTTGGTGGATTATCTGCAACCGAGGACCGCTTCGGATTTGTTCAGGTTCGAATCAAGAGGCACAGATGGCATAAGAAGATCCTCAAAACAAACGACCCGTTAATCTTCTCGATGGGATGGCGAAGATTCCAGACAATGCCAGTGTACAGCATTTCTGATTCGCGGACACGAAATCGTATGCTCAAGTACACTCCGGAGCACATGCATTGCTTTGGTACATTTTACGGCCCATTGATCGCGCCAAATTCTGGATTCTCGTGTTATCAATCCTTTTCCTCTAAGAATCCCGGGTTTCGAATCGCAGCCACAGGAACGGTCTTGAATGTGGACGAATCGACAGAAATCGTGAAGAAGCTCAAATTAACAGGAACTCCATACAAGATTTTCAAGAACACAGCTTTCATAAAAGACATGTTTACAACGTCGTTGGAGATTGCCAAATTCGAAGGTGCATCCATCAAGACCGTCTCTGGTGTTCGTGGACAGATTAAGCGCGCGCTCAGCAAGCCAGAGGGTCATTTCCGAGCAACATTCGAGGACAAGATTTTAATAAGTGACATCGTCTTTCTTCGAGCATGGTACCCAATTAAGCCGCATCGATTTTACAATCCAGTCACCAATCTTATTGGGTGGGAAGGCATGCGTCTAACTGGAGAAGTCCGCCGAGACCAGAACATACCGACACCGCAGCAGAAAAACAGCTTATACAAGCCAGTTGAGCGAGCTGCTCGTCACTTCAACCCTCTTCGTGTGCCACGTGCATTAGCCGCAGAGCTCCCATACAAATCTCAAATCGTCCAAAACAAGAAACAGTCCAAAGAGACATACATGCAGAAAAGAGCTGTGGTGTTAGGGGGCGAAGAGAAAAAGGCGAGAGATCTGATGCAAAAGATCATGACTGTGAGAAATGAAAAGGTTGCGAAGAGAAGAGCTGCCAAAGAAGCGAAACGGGTTGTGTACAGGAAGAAGGTTGCTGAGAATGAGGAGATGAGGGGGGAGAGAGAGAAGAAGGAGAAACAGGAGTATTGGCGGAAGGAGGGAAAGAAGAGGAGAGCGGATCCTAGTGAGGGTGGTGGTGGGAAACGGAGGAAATAGATATAAATGTAGGTTTGGGATTGGAGTATGGTATGGGAAAAGAACAGCATTATAGGAGTTTTGATATAATACTATCTAAAGAGTACATTTCCACGAGTCCAAGTGCTTGGAGTGTTGTTAATCATCTCCCCACGTCCCCGCAATTCCAGCCCTATGGAACGTTCCGATCGGCCGTCAATCGGCTCCAAAATAGCCTCGGTTCAACTTCCTAAATCAACGTCACTTTATCTCATATCACAGAACTCCCATCTATCAAAATGTTTACAATCTTTACCAACCTTTCAACTACCTCAATATCTTCATATATCCCAAATCATCACATCCACCCACCATAATGACAACCAAAACCCTCACCATCCAAAAAGTAGACGGCAAACCCGGTCAAGTCTACTACCCGTCCGTCCCTCTCCCCACCTAAACGCTTAACCCTCACTCACTCAATCTCTCACCCACTAACACCCCCCAGTCTCAAACTCAACACCATCCCCACCCCCAACCCCAACCCGGCGAACTCCAAATCCGCATCCTCTCCGCCGCCCTCAACCACCGCGACTTCTTCCTCCGCCAACACCTCTACCCCTCCCCCTCCTTCACCACGCCCCTCCTCGCCGACGGTACCGGTCTCGTCGTCGCCCTCGGCCCCAACACCTCCCAGTCCTGGCTCGGGAAACGCGTGCTCCTCACACCAGGCCGCGGTTGGGATGCCTCGCCGTCAGGCCCGGAGGAACGGTATGCCATCCTAGGCGGCACGAGTACGTATTCCGTTGGCACGGCGCAGGAAGTCGTGTGTATCTCCCAAGACGAAGTTGAACTTGCGCCTGAGCATTTGAGCGCGCATGAGGCGGCTGCGTTGCCGCTCGTTGGACTTACGGGATGGAGGGCGCTGGTGAGTAAGAGTGGGAATGCGGAGGCGGGGCGGAATGTGCTTGTTACGGGAATAGGCGGCGGGGTCGCGTTGGCTGTGTTGCAGTTTGCGGTTGCGTTGGGAATGAATGTGTGGGTTAGTAGTGGGTCTAAGGAGAAGATTGAGAAAGCGAGGGGCATGGGTGCGAAAGGGGGTGTGTGTTATAAAGATGAGGGGTGGGAGAAGGAGTTGAAGGGGTTGTTGCCGAAGGAGAGGGGGTGGTTCGATTGTATTGTTGATGGGGCGGGGGGGAATGTCGTTTCTAAAGCTGTTAAGCTTTTAAAGGTATATCTCCTCCCTTCATTTTACATCCTATCTAATATATAAGCTCAGCCCGGCGGCGTCATCGTCCAATACGGCATGACCGTCTCCCCCAAAATGGACTGGTCCATGGCCGCCGTCCTCAACAACATCGAGCTCCGCGGCACGACCATGGGTTCGCGACAGGAATTCCGCGATATGGTCGCCTTCGTGAGGGAGAAGCAGATTACGCCTGTGGTATCGAGGGTTGTGAAGGGTGGATTGGAGAATATCGAAGCCATTGATGGATTGTTTGAGGATATTAGGAAGGGTAGCCAGTTTGGGAAGTTGGTTATTGAGGTTTCGGCTGATGAGGGGGCGGGGACGGGGGGGAGTAAATTGTAGGTAAAACTTGGAAATGTATTGAGGTGTCTAGCGGTTTGTGGTTGTCGTCATCCTTGTGAGGGCGTAAAGATAGGGAGGGGTATATTGTCTTAAAGTATGTCGACGGTCACTGGTAAGATTCACCTGTATATTGTAACAACTCTACTGTTCTAAGAGGGTGGTCGATGTGTAGTAAGTGCAGGAAGTCGGACAGTGTAGATGGCGAATAAATCGATAGTACAATTTCACACGTATACGCCCGACGTCCGTTTCATAAGTGCGATCTGATTTGGGCTCTCTGGCATACACATATTCCCGAGAGGTTCTCGCACTTTGCTACCTATACATCTCTCGACATGACCTGACGTTTTGCGAAAACACCAGCACTGGCATGTCACATGCTGATTTCAGGGCACGGTTGATGTAAAACTTAGGGTACGCTTCGGGTTAGGACCGTAGGTATATAGATAGCCGTTCGTTTCTACTTATATTCCTGTGTCTTCTGTAGATGAGTCAGTAGGACGATAAGGTATTGTATACGTACTTTTATAGAGGGTTCGAGGTACGATTCAGTAGATAAGTAGTATAGTAAAAAAAGAATATATTAGAACACACGTAATGTTAGATTAATATACTACTATATACTTCTACTTTAGTACTCGGATATTCGTGTCATTAAACTCGCCTATTAGTAAGTAATACTAAATATAAAAGAATAACTCTATTAAGAACTTTGCGAATAGGGGTAGTAAGGATTTAAGTAAGCTTAACTAGCATCTTTCCAAAAGGGGGTAAAAACAACAATCTATTTAACTAAACAGTATTTTCGTAATCTGAAGAGTGACTAGTGCGCAGCTGTATCGGTGACAAGATACCGGCCGGTGAAACCATTGTTTACATATACTCCTTTGTTCTTATTTCCATGCCCTTTAACAGTACTGGAAGAGGGACAAAGAAAAGGGCAATTTTCTTTATGTGGATCTTCGATTTGGAAACACGCGGCTAAACAGCCGTGCGTCCAGTTCGTTGACCGTGCATTTTCGTATGAACACTGTGCATTGTTATATGAACTATGTATTTCTTCTACTAAGATATTTTAAGGTGGCGAAACGTGACTAAACAACACATGAAGGTTAGACAATAATAATAAAATCCTATAAATGGGAACTAACCCTAACCCCAAGATGAAATCCAATATTCTGGTACGGAAGAACATCACATTACTTTCTGATCATAGCTATCATCCCTCGATTCCCATCTCAACATGAAAGACATTGTAGCGAAGATATTGGAGAGGATTTCTATAACCGACAAAATCCATGAAAATGCCGCCTCCAAGTCATCCGATTTAAAAGATGAGCATCACTCCAGTCAACGACTAGATAAAAATACTCATTCTGGGAGCAAGTCGTTTTCAGAGTTTTGCAAAAAAACACCCAACAAGTCACCGTCAGTGCCTTCACGAACCATCTACCTTGACTCAACGGAGGTATTTCCAACCCCCAAAAACAGTCGTCCAGCAGATTATAAATGCTTACCTCCAATTAGTTATCTTGTTGAGCCAAAATACAGAGAGCTGGAGATATATATATCAACTCTAGATTTCCGTATCGGAAGTCTTCCAAAGACAACCCAGCAGAGGTGGTGTCAAAATTTCATTGGGAAACGCAGGCGTTGGATTCAGACTCTGATCCGCTACGACGAAGCCGATAGGAGGTCGAGAGATCTCAATGCATATAATCACACTATTTTGAGGTCGATACAAGATCTTAAGAACGACGGGTTTACAGAGAGTCATTGGCGGATGGTTGAGATGCGTCATGAACTTGCTTGTAGCATTAAAGTGGGCAGAGACTTGTGGTTTAGGAAGACCCTCGAATGGCACAACCTCCAAATACAGGAAGAGACCTATACCAAGAAACCCAGAGGGTTAAGTGCTCACTTGAACGACGAATGTACTAATCATGTGCCTAAAGTTTTACAGGCAATATTTTTCCGAAAAGAGATCATGGACATCCTCATGAATCCTCGCCCACTGGCTGATCCCCTATTGGGTCAGGTCGAGTCTAGTCAGCTCCTTGGTAGTTGAAACACGAAAACTACACAGTTTTTACTCGTCTTATTTCACCAATTATCATGTACTTCTTTTTCTATTTTCCAAGAGTAAAGAGCTCCTTGACTCACTCAACACAAGGGCATTTCATTAACGAAACTTGCCTACAGCTCTATGATGTAATCTAGCTTGTTGTTTCATATAGAACATCACTCACACTCATATGGTTCACCACGAGATTTACAAATTTCTTTGTACTACACACTATTCCTCTTTTTCATAGTATTGATTATCATGATGTTGACATAAATTATCCGGCATCGCTAAACAAAAAATACAAGCAGAGTGACATGTCCCATGTATAAACGCGGCCAATATACAATACACGCTGCAGCCGGTGCCCAATATAGCAATCTTCTCCTCTGTCTTATACACCTTGTCCTGCCGTGCCTTCGTTATTGGAATTGGACAACCGAAAGGTGGTTTAATTCGGGGCAAGCTGCCCATCACTACTTCCAATTTTGCGAGACACGTGCGACTTGTCATTCGTAGTGGTTGTCACTGAGACTTGATTTTAAGATTGGGAGTGTCATCTCGATATATAGCATGGCGTAGAAAGCCTGCGCTTACTGTATCAATTCCACTCAAACAGATCCAAATTAATGAACGATATCTCTCCATGGTTTTACACATCATTTCTCCCGCTTTTGGGAACAGTTCCGAACTATGAGTTTCAAAGAATTTCCGTACGGCGTAATGAGCCAAGCTAATTAATTTTAGTCACTAAGGTTTGTTGAATTATAAGGTGGCGAAACGTGACTGAACAACACGTGAAGCTTGAACAATTATAATAAAATATTGATTAAAGGTAGCCAAACGTGACTGAACAACACTTGAAGGTTAAACAATTATAATAAAATATTATAAATAAATATTTTAAATAAATAATAACCCTAACCCTGACTTTAGACCCATAATCTAATAAGCAAGACACCGATAATCTCATAAGCAAGAACATCGCCTTACTTCTCTAATTATAGCTATCATCCTCGAATCTTATTTAAAGATGAAAGGTATACTTGCGAAGATATTAGAGAAAATCGCTCTCGAAGGTCATTCGGGTCGACAGCACATAAATAAAGACGACTCTCATGATTTAAGTAATCCACTTTCGGATCTTCTCACAAAGCCACCCACTAAGCCATCTTCGTGTTCTTCACGGACTATCTACCTAGATTCAACGGAGGTTTTTCTAACGCCCAAAAACAGCTGTCCAGCCGACTACAAAGGCTACCCCCCGCGCTACATTCGTCCATGTACTCAACTCATAAATCTACTCCAAACTGTAGGTAATATGCTGAAAGGCGCCTTTACTCTGCCCCCCTCGAAGAGAAAGAAGGAGTGTGAACTTTTCTTAATGAACCGTAGATGGTGGCTCCAAAATCAGATCGAGCTCTTCGATAGTGGGATTCCTATGATGGCACACTGCAAAGAAGTGGACGCATATAAAGATAGAATTGAGAAGCTTCTGAGGAGGGGTTTTGCGGACGATCATTGGGAGGTGCTTGAGTACAATGAACGAATGCATATATTTTGGGGACATAAGGTCTGTAAAGCGCTGGATGATAAATCACGATATAGACACAAGGATAAAAATGAGCTCGCTTGTGTTGTCCCGAAGAAGTTAGTGGCTCTTTTTTTCAGCGCGAAGTTAGACACCTCATTGCTGATCACTGAGGAACATGGACTAATTAAAGCGACTCGCTAGGCCAGGGATAGGTTACCGTGGAGCTGTTTCTATCCACAAACACAATGAAATTTGAACTGAAATCAATTATGTAGGACCCTGGACCCTTATGATTTGAGAATAGTGATTAGCAATTGAGCCCTTTCCTATGGCAACCAATTGCCGACTTGACCCAACATTTACCCAACTTCGTATCCTTCATTTCAATCCTGAGCTACAGACAAGGCGACTCACAAAGTTTGGGTTTAGCAGAGGCTGATGTATACAGGTTTTTATATTTTGATGAGAGTAAAAACCAAAGAAAAGCGCCATGGAGCGGTAAAGAGAATTATAGTGATCCGAGCCTAGCTATTGATACCTCGTTCGACTTCAGACGACAGGCTTGGTTCCCGTGAAAGAAAGAACTATTTTCACACTATTTTCTCATTTAGAATCCTCAGAAGGGACTGGATCTGATGGTATACAATCCATCAATTCAGCCTTGGCTCTGTCGACCGTAGAGTCACAAAGCAAAATATTATCCCTGGCGTTCAAAATGTCTTTTGCTGCGTTCGGGATGGTTCTCTGCCATTCATCGTAGAAGAATCTTTCAATGGTACCATGAGCGAACCTGATGACTTTGGTTTCTTGATCGATTCTCACAAGTCCGCAGCATACGTTGATCATTTCCGCTTCATCTACAAAAGAGTCTTTATCAAGTGACGTGTCTCCAATCTCCAAGTCCATGGCAGCAATTGCATTGTTGATCACGCCAACGGTGAGCGTCTTCGTCGCCAAAGTCAGCCACGACAGGATTGTGATGGCTAGTCTAGACTGATTTGCAGGCTGTTTTCTGATTCTCGTCATGGTGTGGTCGTACAATTCTTTGATATGCGTGGGTAGCACAATTATCGCTTTACGAAGACTTTTCACGCTCGTCGTAGCCTCGAGAAAACAGACAGAAGAGTTTGCAAGTGCGAGTCTGAAGAAGTTAGAATGAATAAAATGGTGAGAATGAATGACACTTACAATCCTTGCGAGTTCTTAGTCACCTGGTCACAAATAATTCCTTCAAGATCACGGGCTGCGTGAAAATAGTTTTGTAGCCTTGGAGATGACTTGACCTGTAGCTCTACATAGGAGCGTACATATTCCTTGGTAGCACTGACATCTAGCCAAGACCACTCCGAATATATTTCGTCCACTTCGCCGAGATATCGAGAAGTACAGAATATTCGATACTTTGCAGGCAGACTTTGGAGCATTTTGACAAATATCTTTCTCATAGTCTGATCACACTCATCTAGAGCGTCGATGACAATACGCACGTCCGAAAAGCTTTCGGTGACGACGTTCAGTATTTCCAAGAAGTGCTCCACTTGGGGGCGACTTCTCGCAGACTCGTTCTTCATATGAAGAAGACTAGAATCTCCAGAATCTCTTTCAAGGCTCTTCGTCAGCTGCTGGATGAGGCGTTTCATTACGTTTTCAAATGTTTGGGACTTTCGGTCTCGATAGTCAAAATGCACGAAAGCCACACCAACCGCTTGCGATGTCTCTTGCGTTTGGAAGTGACGGACGACCGTAGTTCTACCATAGTTAGCATAAGCAAAGTAACCCGCAAAGGGAAAACTTACGCCAGAAAGGTTTTGCCCGCACCAGCTGGAAACAAATTAGCTTAGTCTTTGGAAAATAACCAAGTGTACTTACGTGCTCCTGACAAGCCAAAGAATCTAGGGGAAGCAGACTGATGAGGCACCTTCCAACTTTTGAATTGTTTATTCTCGAAAAGCCAGCGCCAAAGAGCATTGTTCTCTACCGTCTCGACGGAGAAAACATTCTGCGTTACAGAAAGGTCCAACGAGGATATTGACTCGGCGGTAGCTTTGTGCTTTAGATCTATAAATCGTTAGAATGGGACTGACCTGGGGTGATGGAATAGTACCGTCTAGATCCGATCTCAACTTCTCAATTTCATTGCGTATGGTTTTCAAAGTAGCCTCATGCTTTTGATCTGTTTATCGTCAGAACGGGGTATCTAACCGAGTCCAAGAATCTCACAATTATCTTCTGAGCGTAACTCCTCGATGTTATCAAACATTTTGGTCAGTGTTTTTGACAATTCTGTTGTCATCTCCCTAAAATCCCGTCAACCTTTGTACCAACCACATAATTGACAGTTACTGAATAACGACACTTACATGTGTAACGTCTGCAACGATAACCCGACATTACCGCGCGCATCAGCCACGAAGCTCTTCAGTCAGCGCAGCTTCGACTTCATGAACGGCTTAAGGAAACGACTGCTGTTCCAGAAACTAGTTTCCGGCGAACGAGCGCCGTCCCTGTCAATAGGTTCTTGCGAAAGAGCGTTGTCCCCATCACTAGGTTCCTGTGATTGACCTCTGTCTCCATCACTAGGTTCCTGTGATTTGGGAACTGGCATTAGGTTGACCTCCAAGTTCTGAATGTTCTTCCTACAAACGTCAATGCATTTTTGGAGATTACTGCGACAGGTATCTATGGGTGTGTGGGGATCTCTTTGAGGTCCCAAATTGACATTCGCTTCAGGAATGGCCGGAACTTTTCTTGTGTTCTTGATATGTTTTCCGAGCATACCTAGCGTTGCTGTCATATTCTTCAAGAACTCTCTAGTATGCTTTTCATCTGAAGGGACGTCAAGAGCATCACTGATATACTGAGAGCCCAATTCTATAAGCTGAATTCCCAAGGAAGCAGATCCGAGCCCAACTCCAACAACGCCGAGATCAGCCATGATGTGAGCTCTTTTGACAGTGTCGCGGTGAGAGGAAGCGTAGCAGTTCTGCGAAGCGATCCAAAGTTGAAAAGGGTTTTTGTACTTAGAAATGAGAGATACGTAGCTGAGGCAAGCGCTCAGATAAATGGTGGAATAGCCGTCCTCTTGCTAAAATGCGAACCTTGGGTCTGAACGATAGCGGCGAATGTATCTTGCGTTAGAAATGGCAAAATCGTGTTGCTGATCTCTGGCGGTGTTGAAGAAGCACAGAAGTACAGATTGTCATTAAGTATTGGAGCCATGGTTATTAAATTCGCAAGTCACAAAGACAACAACAGAATGGCTTTCAATATTATGCTTCTGGCTACTGGCATGATACTGGTACCAAAGGTAAAACATAGTTGGTCAGTATTGATGATTTGGTCGAATGTAATGCTCTTTGTGTTAAGACTAAATGCTGAAAGGATTCAAAAATGCTACAGTTTGTGAATTTTACGAAGACTTGTTTGTTTGTGAGGTAATGATTGGATGAAAGAAAAGAAGGAGAAGGCTTCGCACAGCAGTCCGCGTTAGGCTTGTATTATTAGGCCTGTAAAGCGATATGCAAACAGATAGCATGCATGAAAAGAAAGCTGGGAAGTAGACCATGCATTTGACGCAGTCAAGGACACGGCTGAGTTGACTAAGACAAAAACATAGCTTTGTGCGCTAGAAGCGTTCCAACATGGAGAGTAAAAAATTTAAGCTTCAAAGGAGAATCGCACACCAACTTGGACAATATTGATTTCGGTTTTCCAAGTCTCGGGGTTTTGCTGATTTGAGTGTCTGCTGAATTTCAAGTATAAATGCATCAAAACTCTGGATGAAAGGAAAACTGAAAAGACAACTCAAAACAGTTGCATAGATTCGTGCAAAAACATACACAGTACCGCTTATTACGTTCATGTTACTCATAGATCATCTCTCTCGTTCTGGAGAACATCCAGAGAGAACATGTGTTTGTAAGGTAAACGCCCTTTGGTACCAACATTTCAACAAACAGAATTTGCAACACCGGGGACTATAATCTGACCATGCGATTGAATTACTGCTGTGGGCTGGTTCAAAGAAAACGTATGGGACTGTCGTTAAGCTTAATGTTTGTCTAGCTTGAATAGTAATAAGGCTTTTACTGAACACGAGTTCATCAGCTCGCAACTTAAGCATGGCTCGTAAATTGCACTTGCTCTTCGACTTGAGCCTTAAGACAAACAAATTCCGAGCAAACAACTATCTACCCTTGAAAGGGAAAGTATAACTAGTACGGGATACTAAAACAGCTGCATGATCACACAAACAGTAACATGATGGTCTTTGTCTCTGATGCACGAGACAAAGCAATGAAAGAAGATCACTTAACAATGATGTTTTGAATTCACATCAAAGGAACAATGAACAGTGGAGTACTGAACAATATTTCGCTGCGTTATAGGTTGCAACGAATGTCATTTGCGCCTTTTAAACCAAAAGTCAAATCGCAAAAGTAGAGGAGCCAAAAGGGAAGGCGCACTTTACAAGAACACTACCCACTACCCACAAAAGGAAACGAGAACAGTTCAGAATGTCGCTACAACAACCAGCTAGACAACATCAGGGAGTTGATGAGAATGCGCAGCGAAGCTCAAAGTCTCAAAAGGTTAGATTTGCACCGCACACGTCAGAAGGTAAGCCTCTGAAGTCATGCAAAGTAACCTTACATGATTCGCTATCGCATTACCAAGCGGAAATGAAGAGAATCAAGGAGACGATGAAGAAGCTCTACCGTCTCAGAGTAGCAACAAAGATCAGCGCACTGCTCTCATCTGATTATGAGATGGTTTTTCTCAATTATATTGAGAACCGCTTAGAGCGGTTGGAGTTACAACGAGAGTGTTATAGATGTAATTTTGAGACTGTCAATTTGCAGAAAGATCTGAAAGACGTCAGCACGCGGCTAAAGCTTCATAGACACAGCTTGAAGCATGGCGGGGATGAATGGGAATACCGCACCTTGAAGAAATGGAGTGCAGTGCCAGCTCAGGGACATAAATGGACACAGCAATTTGAATCCGATACTGTGGCGCTTCTGACTATAGAAAAGGCAGACGTGTCAGCAAAGATCAGTATTTTGGATCAACGTTTTGCCAGGCTCAGCTCGAAGTTGGAGCAAAATGGTACGGCAGAGAAGAAGCAACCCCCAGATGTTGTGACTGCATGGAAGCGCTTTGATGTTAAACTTGGGGTGAAACGTTACACTGACGTAGCAGTTTGAAGAGTAGAGAATAATATCACATAACATCAAATTCTAAACATATACTTATGTGATTTCACCCTTAGTTATTAGTGTAAACGGTCTTAAGGGGATGTGACGCGACGAGAAATCTAAGGATCCTCGCACACGTGCGTGAAATCGGGCCTATTCCGGAGCGAAAGAATGACGGTCACATGACTGCTTGGCTTACCACGATTCGAGGTCTTTCCCTCCATCAAGCCTGAAATCGGACACCACACTATCAGTAATTCAGTCGTAAGGCCCAGCCTTCCCCTACCGCACGTTTCCCTGGTCATTATTAGCCACTTAGTGAAGACATCATTTGCCCCAAATTACATGACTGTTGAGCTGTGGTGTACATTCCATTTACTGTGAGAAATGAAATATTCTGTGCATTTGCCAACTTTGACCGGGGACATCTCAATCACCGTACTTGCCCCAGTCGGATCCTGCTACTTTCGCTGTTGGATCAAGAGAAATTCGAGTTCTAGGCTCCGTTGGACATCTTGATCGGGGCCTCTGCTTCCGGAATCTAACTACAGCCTTCACAGCCTCGATCAGCTACACCATGACATTGCGCCTAGTATTTCAACAGATCTTCATGCTTTTCTGCTTTGTGCTGTCCAAGACGGTACTTTCTGTCGTGTTTGGCATGACCCGATTGGGCAGTAGAACGGTCGTGGATCGGAAAATGGATGAGCTCATGACGTTGGATGGTAGATATAAGAGAGTAAGTCTACCAGACTTTATCACATTAGACTTTGAGGAGAAACGGACATAAATACTAGATGAGGTAAGTTCCTACTTTTGATTTTCTACGAGTATATTATACTGAGGCTAATAATACTCCAGGAGCAGGAGAAAAGTTCTTTCTACAGAGGATTAGACGCTCAGCTACGCACACATAATCACATAAATAGAGGCACCCAAACTGCTATTCCCACAGAGGTTATACTATAATATCGCGATAGCATTCGGCGGGCTCGCTACTCCTCCCGGGATCTGAGCATTGGTCAGTTGACATGTACGGGCAGACTCTAAGCATGCGACCAACTTACATGCAAGGGTACGCTTGATAAGAAGAAACTGTATCGCCCTAGTCTCCTACACTCGCTGGCCAGCTTCTCCAAGTCGAACATCTCTCCAATGGGTAGACCCCATCCAGCCAAAAGCCATTGGTGTAGGGTTGTTTCTGGGTCGTTGTATGGACCTGTGGCAGGTCCTCGCTCAAAGCTAGGTGAATCACCTCCAACAGCCGCGAATTTGTTCTCCCAGATCCAACGCAGGACATTTTTCGTGGCCTCAAGACCTAGAAGACCAGGTGGCTCTCGATCGGGGAACGCTCTCTGTTCAGCATCGGACAATTTGTTGTATGCAGCTGAAAAGCCAGAACGGATGAACAAAATGTCCCCGGGTTTGAACTCTATGTCTTGCTCTTTCACTATTTGCTTCAAATGCGAGAGCTCTACTGCTCCTGTCTGAAAGGGTGACAAGCTCTTCCCATTCTCAGCGGCCCAGGATGCCCAGTCTAAAAGGACGCCACGACCTACAATACCTCCCTTTTCTACCCAGACTGATCCTGTCAGACACAAAATACAAGACAATTGCTAAGGAAATCGTACCATTCAGTCCAAGTGCGGTGCTACTCTCAAACTCTTGCTGGGTATGTCCGTTGAAGAACTTCTTCTCTTTTTGATAGCCTAGGGAATTCGTCAGCTACTTCCATCGATACATCTCACCTCATTACCGTAGTGCCTAAAGCCATCCCACTGCGTTGAGCTCTGGGTGTTCATATGTACGGCATCATCGTTCATGAAAGTTGGCCCTGCCCTATGTAATATTGCATGGTGAAAACGTTGTCGTTCAAAGGTTGGATGTGATGGTTTATTTAAAGGCCAGTCCAGAGCTATGCGGATCCCTTCTCGGATTTCTCGAGCAGCATCTCGTGTGGTTTCTGGTGTTAGGAGGTTAAGCATTCCGAGCTCGTCGTCGTCGCCAAATAAGCCCCACGCATTTCCTGGTGGGCCACTCTTTTGGAGGGGTAGAGCTTCGAAAGGCGGAAATTCGACAACCATATTCGATTGAAATGTTACGTGACTTTAAGAGCTCGGTTGTTGAAGAAGCCAGAAGTCGGAAAACGAGGGTAATAGTATCTGGAAATTAGAATGGTCGAGCAACTGACTGGCAGATTGCTTGTAAGTGTTATTTTCAACTTTTAATTGGCACAGGAACCGCTAACAATGGATAATGATTTACCCCGGAAGGTGTTGTTTCATACTTAAATTTCTTGGAGTCTTCTGCGCAAGCTCGATACTATGGGGTTTAATACTTGGCGGCAGCGTTCGTCCTAAGCTTGGTCCTTGACGATATATTGACAAATGAAGATCGCAATCCTTGGCCGAAGGGATCTTTTCGAGTCATTGGCAGCTCCAGGGAAAGTGTTGATCTCAAGATAATTTGAGCCCGCATCCCTGATTTGTCAAATCGAGTGGGCTTCGGAAGTTATTTTCCGAACGTCGCCCAACTCAACGTCGCTTTGACTTCTGTTCTTGAATCATCAACCCCATTTTTGACATGAAATATGGGCCCATCGCTTGCATGTTCCTGGTTCTACCCCCATACCCCATACCCCATCTCCGCATCAACACTTAACCGTCTCCATGTTATCGGGTCAAGCTAAAGGTATACCTTCCACATGATATAAAAAGTCAATTCAAATGTTTTTTCCTCGTCTGATGTTGATCCTAATCCATTTCATTCTTCTTTGTAATATATGTACTATCACCTCTATCAGAGCACAAGATGAAGAACTTACTGCGGATGAAAGCGACGCACCATGACGAAGACGTCCCCAAGTCGGTGTATGGCTATCGACCTTACCTGCTTACTTTCTCAGCAGCATGGGTAATATGATCTCCATTCCTGAAACAAAACAACTCATGTTGACTGATTATTGTAGGCTTCAGCCATGTATGGCTACGATTCCGCATTCATTGGTGGCACATTAGCACTGCCTTCATTCAAAGATGCATACGGACTTACCAATGCTACACGTGCAGAGGCAGCTTCGCTCTCATCAAACATCGTTTCGACATTTCAGGGCGGAGCCTTCTTCGGGTCCATGTTCGGTTTTGTTCTCGGCGAGCGATTTGGAAGAAAACCTGTTTTGCTGATTGCGACCTGTGTTTTCTGTATCGGCGCAATCCTACAGCTCATCGGTAAAATCGGTCTATTATACGCAGGACGGGCCCTCACTGGTCTTGGTGTTGGCGCTACGTCTATGATTTTACCAATCTATATTTCCGAGTGCGCTCCACCAAATATTCGAGGACGCTTGGTAGGATTCTTTGAGGTGATGCTGCAGTCAGCGTTGGTCATTGGGTTTTGGGTAAATTATGGTGTCAATGAGAATGTGCCGGCAAGCAGCTCAAGCCAGTGGCATATTCCTGTTGCACTCCAGCTTGCTCCCGGCGCCATGCTTCTTCTCATGGTACCTCTATTTACCGTTGAGTCGCCACGCTGGCTCGTTTCCAAAGGTCGAAATCAAGATGCACAAAAGGCCCTTGCATGGGCGCGAAATCTCCCGGAGGATGATTTGTATCTGCAACACGAGTTACGGAGAATCGAGAATGGTGTTAATGACGAACTAGAAATTGTGGGGGGCAGTGGCTCGTCAACCTACGTGAAAATTGCAAGAGAGCTTTTTTGCAAGGGAGTCCGGAATCGTCTCATTATCGGTACTTGGCTTATGGTACTTCAAAACATGACTGGGTAACTGAATAATCCTCTCAGTATAGTCTTATGTCGCTTGAGCTAACTTTATGTCTAGTATCAACGCCATCAATTACTACTCGCCCACCATATTTAGGGCAATTGGCTATACTGGTACCTCCACTGGACTTCTTGCGACTGGGGTGTATGGGATAGTAAAAATGGCGGCGACAATCATATATGTGATTATCATCGATCGCGTCGGACGTAAGTGACAGCCTCTACCTGTTTTTATACAGGCTTATTTGCAAATCTCAATAAATATTTAAAAATCAGACCAAATGCTGACAAATTACCACAGGCCGCCCGCTGCTACTGATCGGTGCCACTGGCTCTGCTATAGCAATGTTCTACCTTGGAATTTATTGTAATCTTAGCAACTCCTTAAATGCAACCCCGAAAGCCGACGCCGGAGCACGACTGGCCGTTGGAATGGTGTATGTCTACGCAATTTTCTACGGCGCTTCATGGAACGGCATACCTTGGCTATACACTTCAGAGATTTTACCGACTCGGGTCCGAACTTTGGGAATGGCGTTTGGTGTTTGCATCCAATGGCTGTCACAATTCATCGTTGTATACTCGTTGCCATATATGATCACGGACATCGGATACGGAACCTTCATTTTCTTTGGCACTTGCACTGTTATTGCCTTCCTATTCGCATATTTTCTGGTTCCGGAGACCAAGGGAGTCGCTATTGAGGATATGGGACTGCTGTTTGGCCCAGATGTTTCGATCATTGCGAGGAAAGCTAGACGTAATTGGGAACTCAATAGGGAAGAAGCTGATGCTGTGGTGATGCGGGACTTGGATAAGGCTACGAAGATGGAAGACGAAGATGACCATGTTGAGCGAGTTTGAACAGGACCATGACACATCTGGACTTCAAGAATACCCGATGTATCTTATTTTGCTGGCTAAATAGTATAATACGCCGCTAAATGATATGGTTTATGGAAATATCGTCTCTCTGTGACCAATTCTGTTCGGCGGGATCCTTAATATTCTGAATTTGATTGACCATAGTCCATCTCCCCAGCACCAGACTACCACGTACCAAGCCCAAACGCCGCGTCAATATTCAATTCAAACTTCTTAGTAGCCAAGAACAAGAAAGGAGGCATATCAAATAATGACTGCAGATAATGTCAACGGAAACCGCTGAAATCTGTTCAATATTTGCCCAGGATAATAGTGAAGAAATTTCAAAGATTATGGATCAGCCTGGTGTAACTGACTTTTCATAAAGGATTTCAGAATTTGTGAAGAAAAATGGGTTACAAACAAGTAATTACAAGTTGCATTGTCCGGGATCTGGCGAACACCTGAAGCCGCAGAAGGGCTGAATTATACTTGAATTTCTGATAAACATTAATGGAGTATACAACTGAGGTTTTCCTACATATGGATTTGAGTTTGTTGGCTTATATCAGAAAATGCTTTTTGAAAGTAAACAAAATAAGAAGATTTACCTCCTTTTCTTCTTTTCGGCACAGCCAAGCGATTACGTCGGTTCTAGGATTTTACTATTGATTAATTAGTATTTCAATTACCAGGATACAGAATAAGTCATCAGAAGAGCAACAAAAGTCGAAACGGGCTTCACGATTTTATCAAAGTCTGCGGTCAAAGCTTATGTGTTACATGACCCCAGATACATAATTTAACGGGCTAGATCATCTGATTCTGATGCGTTTCGGAAATATCATCAGTAGCTTATGCCCACAAGTACAAAACAAGACAAAATAGTATGCTGGCGACTTGTGGTCTTAGAATCAGATAACTTAGTATTTCATCAAGTGGTACCGGATCTCTGGTTACTCTGCTGAGGTCAATCCCAGTGCAAGTGTCATGATTCAGACCCAGTTGTTTGGTTTGAGGACAAAGAATGTCCGTTTTTGTTTCACAACATATTATGTTCTAAAAAGTAAGTGTTAAGTCATCAAAGAGCCAGAACAATTCACTCTCGGCAGCATAAAGAGTGAAATTATTTACCAACACAAAGACCTGTGCTCGAGTACTAAGGGTGCTATTTTGAAAATCGAAATCTCACTTATGAGTTCCACGCCATTGCCTCCGCGTAAATTACAGAAGCTGCCTCCACTAGAACTCCAAGAGCAATACGAAGAGATAACCTCAGGCTCCAAAATGCCACAATCACCGACCAAATCTCTTTGGGGAAAGCTGACGAAACCAAATCCGGGATCTCAAGGTCCCATTACACCTCTTCCGACATCTTCCCCAAATTTGATATCCACAATTGAGAGCTGGAGAGAAGCCGTGGAATCATCGAGCTCAATGCAAGAACCAAGCATTGCACCATCGAGCAAGACATCTGATGCCCATTCTACAGCACCTACATCAATCACGACAGCAAAAACTGCAAAGAGCTCTTTGACGTTCTTCACAGCAAAGAAGAGACAGTCTAAAGAAGAAGAGTGTGCCTATGCTTCAGCTCCTATTTCACCTACCATTGCGAAAACTGCGAAAAGTCCCTCGACATCACTGACAGCCAAGAGGAGAGAGACTGAAGTAGTAGTGTGTACACCAAAGCCCACAGACGGCCATTTATACACCAAAGCTTTCCACAAGTCAACGATGTCCGAAGCCATGAAAGCGCTTCGGAAATCTCAAGTCAAGACGATAGAAAAAGTCCTAGCCGAATATGAGCGTCACACCAAATTATTGAACCGAGCAGTCCACGAGCGCTTCTCGTCCTTCAAACAAGCCAAAGATGCCGGCGAGGAATTACGTTTAATGAATCAGCCGGACGGAAGCTCAAGCTGTTTCTAGAGCTGATCAATCTCGAGGAGGAGATGAACGAAAACACGCTTTTGCTTCAGCGGTATTCGCCAGGTACGGCGGCTATTGAGGGGTTAATGGCAATCCGAAAGAGTCTCCAAGATCAGACTAAGGTAGCAGAAGATGACTTTCGGAATGTGTATCAGGAGTTGGCTAGTCGGAATCGTGATGAGCTTGAGGAACTTATTTGGACTATTTTTGACCAGTATGGCGATTTGGTTTTTGATATTTGGCCACTGGCTTGGGTTCCAGGGAGGGTTGGCTGAGTAGTGGTATCTTCCGGCAGGAGGGGGTCATGAATATGCAAAAGCACAGCTTTGAGTCGACGTTGGCAGATGGTGCTGATGAACTACAAATCGTAGAGCTTGACAAATGAGAATTCAAAACTCGACGCAATGAAAGAAAAACAATAAAAGAATTACCATGAAATAAAAGATAGATACAATATCATACTTGGAACTAGCCCCGTGAACGATTCTTGAATCAGAGAAAGCCAACTCAGGTTTGACATGCAAATTAAACGAATGAACAGCCTGCAATCAGCAGAAACGCTATTGAAGACTAACTTCCTTTTCCTTGATTCCTTCATACCAATGCAAATAACAATACAATCAATCTTACGTCCAAACCTCGACGACTCTGAAACGTCAGCACCAAAACCATCACACGAGAATCCAGCGGTGAACTTGCTGTGCCGGACATACATCCTCCCCTTGCCCATTTCCAGCGGCGTGAGTCGCGGAAAGCATCCCCAATTAGGCGGTCGATCCCCCAAAGGATTGCGGGAGCCAAGGATCAGGAAACCGGGGTTGGATAAAAGCGCACCAGCACCGGGGAAAATCCACATCATCCATCCACCACCCGTTCCGTTCCCCAGACTGAGTGAGAACTGCCGGTTTGTGTGACCGGATTGCAATACTTGAGCAGTACAAGTGTAGTCCCCGCGTGAGTGGCTTTGATAGATAATAGTGCGCTCTAGATTCGAGCTTCTATGAGCCATTTGCGTAAAAGTCGTCTGTCATTTGAGCGCCTGTCCGTTTCTAGGTTTCGAAGCACGTCGTTGACAAGGAAGACAAGGAAGACAAGGGAAGCTCGAGCCGGCCCAGTCAATACTTCCAGAGTCGCTTTCACAATGGTTGACACTGTAAGCCCCACGCGAGATACTTGTTCGAGATGTACCCTAAACCCCACATTATGCTGGGTGGGGCAGCTTTCGCGAGCTTGGATAGGGAGGAGAATCACGTGCCAAGAGTAACCGTTGACCCCAGGTTGTTTAGCCGGCCAATCCAGAGGCTTCCAAAGAAGTGATAGACATGAAATTGCCGGTGATGTCTTTTTTGTTGCAAGCGAACTGGCAAAACTGTTCAGACGCCACCAAAGTGGTTGTGACCCTCATGTCAGAATATTGATTTGAGAAAGATGAAATGGCTTACTCACCGCTCGTAAAATGCCAGAAGATGTCGTGCGTTAACCTATCGTTTGGACGATTCCAACAAATTTGGCTCATTCTGTAGCAACTCGGTAGTCTGGGCGAGGAGAAAAGGGTTGCCAATAAATGCAACTCCCATGCATGGAATACTTCCAACCGCATCCAACCCCGCACTCTCATAACGTTCAAATTGGCTGACGGGAGCATCATTGGTCGAACTGACGACGAAGCATAGCGAAGGTGCCGTCAACGTGTCTCAGCGGCACGTAACTGGCTAGGTAGCTGCAGCGCTGTCAGTCATTAATCTGTTCCCCCTGATACCGAGTAGCGGGCGAGAGGGCGACCTACCTGTGGGACACAGCATAAATCTCATGATAACCCGCGAGCTAGCCAGAGTTCTTGGTCCTCAATCTCTCATTCATTTTTCCATCTGGAACTGTTTTGGAACTGTAAGCGAGAATGGCTGATCAAGAGAAAGTCGTGGTGCCCGAGCCTGGTATTGATGAGAAGGTGTCTTCAGATGATGATTCGCAATCGAGAGAGTGGGATGAGAAAGATGAGGCACGCATTAGGAAGAGAATGGATTGGCGTATCGTACCGACGGTCTTTGCTCTGTACTTGATGTGTTTCATTGATCGGTAAGACCGCTGAAAAATGGTTATCGTTCTTTGCTGACATTACATAGAGCCAATATTGGGTAAGAACTCGCGAATCCATAAGATACAGATAATTGGAGCGTAGGCACTGACCATTGATGTAGAAATGCTCGTATTCAAGGACTGCCAAAAGATTTGAACTTATTCGGCTATCGATTCAATTGGGCACTCACAATCTTCTACGTCGCATACATCGTCGCAGAAATCCCATCAAACATCATTTTGAAGATGGTCGGCGGCAGATTCTACCTTCCATCGCTCGTCATTGCATTTGGTCTCATCTCCATGTGCACCGCCTTCGTCCACAACTACGAAGGGCTGCTCGCATGTCGATTTTTCCTCGGCCTGGCAGAAGGTGGAACCATGCCTGGTATCGCGTACTATCTGTCATGCTTCTACCGACGACATGAACTTCTTCTGCGACTCGGTCTGTTCATCCAAGGAGCCTCACTCGCAGGAGCTTTCGGTGGTTTACTCGCAGCTGGATTATCGCCAATCCCAAAATGGGGAATCGCAGCTCGGCCAATTTATGCGTGGAGAAACATTTTCTTCTTCGAAGGCCTCTTCACACTGCTCGTGTCTTCAATTGCTTTCTTCGTCCTCCCATCAAGACCGGATGAGTGCAAATTCCTCACCCCAAGAGACCGCTACATTGCACTAGAACGAATCAATCGCGAGCACAAGGAGACGGCAGACGAAAAGACAAAACCACATCACGTTCGCCGCGCGATTTTCAACATCAACAACGTCATTTGTGGGCTTGGTTTCTTCTTCATTAACGTCTCGGTCCAGTCATTTTCTCTGTTCCTACCATCCATTCTCTCGGCGCTGGGATGGACAGCTTTGAAGACGCAATTCTATACCGTACCACCATACGCCTTTGCATGTCTCTGGTCTGTTGTAATTTTCCGAGCTAGCGATCACTATCGCCGTCGTGGTATATTCCTCCTCTTCGGATGCGGGCTGGCCATCATAGGATACACCGTGATCGCGAATGCAAAGACGAACTCTGTGAAATATTTCGCAGTTTTCTTGGCCGCAGCGGGAGCATTTCCTGGAGGTCCGACATTGATGGCATGGGGACTCAACAATGCAGCGGGACCCAGTATTCGAGCGGTAACAGGTGCATACATTGTGGCCATGGGAAGTGGAGGTGCAATCCTGGCTACGTGGACGTATGTTGATAAGGACAAGCCACTCTACAGGAGAGGTCACTATATCAACGTTGGATCTCAAATTATTGCTGGAATTTTGGTAGTGATCGGGATATTCTATACAAAGTGGGAGAACAAAAAGAGAGAGCGTGGAGAGAGAGACCATAGATTGCTGAACTTATCGGAGCAAGAGAAGAACGAGTTGGGATACAGACATCCAGAATTTAGGTACATCTCTTGAAGAGACAAGCGAGGGACATGATGGGTTATGAATAAGACTATTTTCGTCGGGAGTTTCCTCCCTCTGCATTACACACTCTCTGCTTCCACTAGAAACTCAGCAATAGCATGGTGACCATTGGATCTCGCCAGATCGGCTGCAGTACAACCAGACATGTTTTCTCCCGGTCCACCAGTCGTGATCATCCCCAATGCCGCGGGCTTCGAGCCAGTCGGCTGGAGCAATAATTTGACTATCTTCATATGACCGTAGCGAGCGGCAAAATGAAGTGAAGTCCAGCCATTTTCGTCTACTGAATCGATTTCGGCGCCGGACTGAAGAAGCACCTTAACGCAATCCAGCTTTCCCTTGAAACATGCCATGTGTAGTGGTCGACGACCGTCTAAAGTGCGTGCCTCAATATTTGCTTTACCATCTACCAACACTTTGACCGTCTCCCCGTTGCCATATCCAGCCGCATTGTGCAGAGGGGTGTAATCATTATCGTCCGTCGCAGCAATGTTCGCATCAAAACCGGCATCAAGCAAAATCTTGCATATTTCAGCGTGTCCCATGGAAGCAGCAACGAGTAGCGCTGGAGTGTTTGCATGTACAGGAAGTTTCAAATCGACAGAACCCGAGTCTAACAACAGTTTTGTCGCCCACACATTCGCTGAAAATACGGCGCTTAAAAAGATCGTTTGGCTTCCTCCCATGTCTTTGTTGGGATTGGCACCCGCATCGAGTAGGATCTGAGCAATTTGAGCGTTGTTTGTGAACGGGTGGCAGGCCAGAGATAATGGTGTACTTCCATGGTCCCGCGAACCCTCTTGGTCCACTGCAATATCAGGTTCTGCTCCTTTCTCCAGAAGAAGTTTCAGTACTTCTGGAGTAGAACTCGCTGCCACGTGAATTGGAAGGTGGCCTCGTCTCTGTTTCATACCGGGGCACTTCAAGCCTCCCTCATGTTCCAATAACAGCCGGCAGACCTCTACACTTCCGCCCTCAACAGCACAATGTCTCGAGAAGCAATTTGGCCTGTTTATAGTTCCCAGCAGTAGCCGCATCATGTAGAGGCGTTGCGTCCTTTCGAAAGTTTGCCGACGAGAAATGCTGTCTAGTCACAGCGGCAAGAATTCCTTGAAGAGCACTGCGATTTCCACAAGCACAACCATCCTCGCAGCCTTCACCGCAAGGTTCGGATGGACGTTCAGATTCTTGACTGCCGACGTTGACGTTTGCACCTCGTTCAATAAGCATTCTTGTGACGTCCAGCGAATCAGTCTGGACGGACATATGAAGTGGGGTCTTGCCAACATAATCGTGAGGATCGACCGCTGCACCATTCTCCAAGAGAAGCTTGACGGCTTCTGGTTGACGACCCCGATTGTCGGGTGTATGCCAAGCTTGCACGGCAAAGTGAAGAGCGGTCATGTTTGTTTCCTTTGTGACTGCGTTGACATCGAATTTCCCTAAATTGAGAAGATATTTTAATTTAGGAATATCGACTCGATCAGCGGCTTCGTGAAGAGGTGTCCAGTTATCTTCCTGGCGATATTCGCTATCTACAACTTCATATTCGGGGTGGTCTTGAGAGAGCTTCATTTTCTTCGGACCTGGGGCTTCAGTCTCTTGCAAATGAGCCATGATTTATTGCTGGTTTGACGGTCGAAAATTGTGTAGGCAGCTTTGTTTGACAATGAACATGAAGAGCTGTTCCTGGACTAAATGTCGATTTTTATACTTTGTTCGGGTCTGGGGCTGAGAAAACAGCCAATTCAGCTTGTGGTGGCTTGGTGGGTGGTGGCATTGTCGAAGTGAACCAAGATGTGCCATTATTCAGCCCAGTTATAAATAATGCGGTCGTGAACCCAAGAGAAACAGAATCCTCGAGTGAGATGAATTGACGGCATCTTGATAAACTGCGATAGATGCAAGTCGCATCGCGGTTCTGTCAACCAACATATTTTGATTTGTGTAATCGTCGCAAATGGACACTTCTTGCACAACACATAGCGTAGGTAATGCCATCCTACCTAGGTAGGTATGGCAGAGAAAATAAGAAGACATTGGATCGATACAAACTTGCAAACAAAACAGAGACAAAAATTGAAGACGTTAAAATAAGCTCTTTCTGGCTCGACTCCAGACCCACTGTTGGTATCACTAAGGAATGACGGTGCATTTCCTCGCCCCACCGTCAACCTCACTCTCACCATTTATAGAATCCCTACCTAGGTAATTACGTCATGACCGTAGAGTAACTTGTTTTTCAACTATGGCGAGTAAATTCATTTGAAATTAGAAACAATGCGATTATTTATTTTACGCCAGTGAGTTACAATACATGACAGGCAAATCTAACACTACAAAGGAGAACAAGGGAGAAATATTTTGATCTTGATTTTATATCCTCAGCTTTTTTTCATTGAGCACTACAGCTCCTAAGTTTTGACGTATCCACATACATCATCCATCTGCACGACATGGCTAAGTCACAGAGACTACAACGGTTCGCAGCCCAGTCCCCACACAGTGGTGTCTGTCAACCAATACAAATACACTGTATCTCAGTATGATATCGCGAACAGCCCTTTAGATCCACGCCAAATGTTCAGATATACATAGATAACCGCGTCAACCTAAATCTTCTCAATCTAGTCTATCAAAGACCTTCATTACCTCTCCTCACAAGTTCGCCGCTTCATTCGAAGCTAGCATCGAAATGCTCTCTTTTCTACCAACGACATCATCTTCGACCTTCGCCACATCCAACCGTCCCTGGACCCGCTAGTCCTCTGCCCACTTCTTTCTTTCCGACTCCCCTGCAAGCCGCAGCTTTTCATCATCATCTTCGGATTTCGGTGAAAGCCGAAAGCGTCTTTCCTCCTCCTCCTCTTTCTTGCTCAAAAGAATCCTCTTTTCATTCTCGATACGCTCGCGAAGTAGACGAAGCCGCTGTTGCTCGCTGGTTTCTCGATAAGAACTCTCATGGGATTCCTCAGAGTGTTTATCCCTTTGTCGAGGGAGGCTATGATGAACGGGACTGCGAGATCTCCTACTGCCCCTCCCGTGATATACGCTTTCCCGATTGTCTGCACCTTCGCGGGACTCTTCTGGTGAGCGTGTTCTTCCACCGGTAGATCCACTATCTCTGTGCCGAGAGGGTCTATAATGATCTGGACTCCAAAATCGTCGTCGAGGAGATGTACTACTGTGCCGATCAGATCGTCCACTTCTATACCGAGAGGGCATATAATAATCTGAACCGCGATATGACGCCGGACTTTCGCTTCGCTCTCGCCGTCGTTTCCTACTTCGCGATATGCTTCTCGGGGTGTGTCTCTCTTCATGAGACTTTGTTGGTGAGCGATATCTTCCCGTAGTTGAGTGAGGTAGTGAGCGTAGCTGCTTTTCGAATTGCGGTAGAGCCGGCCGACGAGGCTGCAACCTGGGTGGAATTTTCCCCAATTTATTTTCCTTTTCCAATTGCATAAAGTCCTCTAGGAATTCCTTCCCCCCTGGTGGCAATTTCTCTACTTGAAAAGCCCACACCCACAGAAACAAAAAATGATATGCGCGTTCGAGTTTCGCCCAAGCTGCTTTATCAATGTCATGAATATTGCAATAAGGTCCGTGTGCCTCTATCCAGATCATCAGAGTTTGGTGCTCTCTGGCAAGGTGCGTAGTAAATTTTAGGTGAAAAGTGCCTGCAAATCTGCTCAAAGTACTGCGGTCTGGACCAACAAATTTTGAATATGCATCCGGATGTGTGATTATCGACCAATATGGTTGGCCCTCAACAGTCTGGCCGTAAACGGGTGCGTACGGAAATTTCGTTTCTCCGGGCCATTCGAGACCAACACGACTGGGTGCCCCGGCAAGCAGAAGAAGTTCGATTGAGTTGGGGCGGTTTATAAGTTTGAGTGCGAAATCATTAGACGAGCGACCGTTATGTATGAGAGGAAGCTGACTTGGAATTCGAGGGTAGCTGGGTGAAATCGCAAAACTACTGCTGCTGCTTCTAATATTCTCATCTTTGTTTCTAGGTAGTGTAACGCTGGGAAATTGTTCTGTTTTTTTATCAGTATGGATTGAGTTGATGGGGTGTTTGTGTCTATGTTCGGCGTCATCCGACAGACGTTCCTGTTGCCCGAGAGGAAGCTGGGTTTGAATCCGAGAACTGCCAGGTAAAATCGCAACGGTACCAATATTGTTTCGAATATCTTCATCCTTCCTCTCAGGCGGTGCGCCAGGAAATCTTTCCGTCCCTAATCTATATCAGTAACTTCCCACCCCCTTTATGTCCCCAGATGTATGCCACTCACAACCAAAATGTTTCCACAAAAGCTTCTCAGCCACGTACTTCTCCACCGAGTTTTTGGAGGCTTTATACCGTTCGGTCGCTATGGTGTAGTAATGCTCCGAAAGGTCGAGTATTTCATCTAATGTCTTTCCTTCTTTCAAGGCTCGCTCCTCGATGATGTCGAATACTGAGTGGTACCGCATTTGATGCGTGGAGCGTCGGGAGGGAAGAAAACCGGAAATTCGATAGCGAAGAGACACGACACGAATGTATAAGTTCCACCGTGGTGAGGATTGAAGTGGCAGATGATTTTGGAATCAGTAGTGTATCCGGACGTTGGCAGACCGTGATGTGGGGGCAGAAAGAAATCAGAAATCGAAAATAGAATGACTGCCGATCAAGAACGCAAATATGGAAGGACTGTGGTGCTGAGGTGGAAAGTCAACTGGGCCAGACTAACGCGAGCCGATTGGGGATACGAATTTGGAAGGGGCGTGAGGGTTTCAAAATAAATAATTCACCTCACACGCTGAAGACATCTTGTCAGATAGTAATTTAATATTTTCCTATTTACATAGACCAAATGATATATATAAAATTAATCACTGTGGACAGCTTCAAGATGGCTGACAGACACCACTTCTTACTACTTCCGAATCCAGGTCCCGTATCTCTCCGGATATCACAAGGAATTTCAGTCAAAACCGGTTTTTGAGTGACTCGATTCTTTCATGATTTGAATTTGCAGCTTGGCTACAACACTGATAAGTAGAATTCGACATCGAAGCAATCATAAGCAATTTTGATCTGTTTTTTTCAAAGCTAATCACAGCCAGCATTTCCTAATAGCTAAATCCCTGTGAGTCTTCAAAATCTTCCACAAAAGATTTATCAAATAATCCGAACAAGTTTCAACAACTTCCATACATGTGCAAACATTTCCACGGAACGAATTGGAGTCTCTCAGATCAACGCCCCGCAACGCTTTATTCCACTAGTTTCAAATTCCCGTAAGTGCCAAAGCAAGACGATCGCAAAGCATCATTACTCGACGGCAAGTAGGTAAGACATTAGCTAGCGAGGTCGCCCCCGGTAAAAAAGAGTTTGAGATTCAGTCTCCCTAACAAAGCTCTCTGTCTGGGTCAACATATCTCGGGGTTGAGAGCGGTTCCTTGTACTTGGGGTGACTTCGTTGAAATCCTCATCTTGACTCCTGTTTTGCTGAATATCCTGAAAACTGGAAATATTCGCCAAGGTGTTTGATCGAGATTGGTCACGATTACCTCCCATATCTGAATACTGCCTGGAGTCTCTGCTGGAGATCCTGCCAGGTCTTGATGATGATCTTGGATGAACCGTAGCTCGTGATAGATCAAGAGCTGATGCTTTGAAAAGCTTGGCAGGCGGTCGGCTTGGTTGAGCTGGAATTTTCCCTAGTTTGTTTTGGACGTCTAATTGGAGAAAATCAACCAAGAAGTCTTCTGAATCTCTTGGCAATCTCTTGCACTGGTTTGCCCATACCCACAAGTACAAGAAGTGCCAGGCACGATCAAATTTATACTTGGTTTGTTTGTCGATGTATTTTTCTCGGCGTTGATCCTCTACCCAGATGATAAAGTACTTCTCCTTCCCTGTGCGTGGAAAACTTGACCCCTAAGTCTCTATGCATATAGTAGATTGCTTTGCCTTTACAACCCATGAATTTGGGATATACCGCTGTGTGCGTGGTGACCGACCAATATGAGTGACCATCTTCATTCTTGCCATATAGTGGTGGTGCATTGAATCTCATAGTTCCCCGCCACTTCAGGCCGACGTGTGCTGGAATAGGAGATCTAAGGAGCGACTCTAGAGAGTAGTCAGGCTTAGCGTTTTGAGGATTGTAACCGATCTCATCTTTGATATCGGAGTGTATGGAACTGGAAGTTTGCGGTGAAGGGTTTGAAAGTGATTTTGAAGTCTCTGCTTCCTTCTCTTTGTAAATCTCTGATCTCTGGGCGAATTCCACGTTTGCAGCTGGCAGATGTGGAGGAACTGATGTCGTCGTACGAGTTTTTGCCTCTTGTGTTTCAACCTGGATTGGGTTCCTCTGAGGTTTGATGACACCAGGAAAGTCCTCCTTCCCTACATCGCGTCAGCACTTCAACCACTCAACACCAAACCTCTCAGACAACAGTTCTACTTACATCCCAAATCCTCCCACAAAAGCTTCTCAGCCGCGAACTGCTTCACTTCCGGTCTGGAGCCCTCGTACCAAATTTGAGCATCTTTATGATGTTTGATAGACAAGTCGAATAACTCTTGCATTGATTTGCCCTCTCATAGAGCTCGCTCCTCAATCTGGTTGAATACTGAGTCGTACCGCATGTTTGCGACTAACTGGGAGATGCTTTGGTGGTTGGGAAGGGTTGGATGGGTGGGTTGATGGAAAGGAAGAACACGAGTGGAGACTTCAATGACTCTCAATTGGTGATAATGTAAGCCGGATAGTCTACTAACGAGTTTAGATTCTAGAAGACTACCGGGAAAAAAGTCAACGGCCAGCCAAGAAGTAGGTGGTGTGGTGTCGTGTTAATGGAAAGGTGATGTTGAAGTTGAGAAAAAACTTGGTGTCGCGAAAGAAAGTAAACAAAGGAAGGAGCAACCACCTCCGCACCCAACGAAACTTCCACAGTATGACTCACCCAACAAACTCAAAGTTACCTAGAGAATAATACATTGGCTTTGCATAGACACCTGCCAAGAGAGCTCTAATACTTTGAATGGTTCTGAAATTTTTGGAACTGCTTGTAGTGCAGAGTGTCAAAATATATTACCACACTCAACAGTCCTCACCTTTGTGTCTCATGTACCCATTCTTGTGTTCATACTAGCTATTAAACGTCAAAGCCACATAGAATCGCCCACTCGGAGATCAATATGGATTTAGTCAAGTATCAGTGTCTTCGGTACCCCATAATAGTACCGCAACATCAGACACAGTTTCTGACTTAAGATATCCTCCTCATCAACACCACTCCTTTACAAATCTTCATACCCACTGAGCCCCTCCTCAATCGCCTTGATCTGCAGCGCAAGCATCCGACTATACCATCTGCAAAGTGCCAAATTCCCCGCCATGAACCAAAAGCCAGGATGTCCAGATTTTCGCCACATAGTTCTAACCTCGCCTTCCTCATCCATACCCCAGACATCATGTACTTGATCGGCTACTTTATCTCCGAAAATCGTGCGGCAGTGACTACGCATAGAACCATATCCAGTAGCCCATACAATTTCATCAGCTTCAAGGATTTCTCCGTCGGTGAGTTTGAGTCCGGTTGGTAAAACCTCAACGATTTCTTGTCCTTGTTTGATTGCAATTTTACCGTCGGCAATAAGTTGGGAGCAGCCAGAATCGAGGTAATAACCACCACCTCGTTGGAGGTACTTGAACCAGATACCGCTGTCGTCGATGCCTTTGTCGGTCTTGAAGCCGGCTTTTTCGAGACCCGCCAGAATCTCCTTATCGGCTTCGCAAAGTGCGGATGTTCCTTCGACTTGGAGTTTCTTCAGTACTGCATTGGGCATGCCTAAAAAGAGAACGTCAGAATCTTCGTTGGCTGGGCTGTTTTCACCGTAAAGTGGGGAGAATGCGGCGTTGTTGCTCTTGATTGTCACAACATAAGTTGAAGATCGCTGGACCATGGTGACTGAATGTCCTTGCTCTTGAAAATCCTTTGCAATGTCGTGACTGGAATTGCATGCGCCAACTACAACGACTTTCTTTGGGTTGCCGTTCGCCGGAGTAGCAGATTTGAACTTGGAGGAGTGCTCGAATCGGCTGCCGGTGAAAGAACCAAAACCCTTGATTTCAGTTGGCAGATATGCTTCCCCACTGTGGCCGGTGGCTTGGATGATATGCTATGAACAAAGTCAATGATTATGTAACAATCATAACCGGTCGTCATACCTTCGGGGAGATAGTCCTCGTTTCCTCATGACATTCACCACTCCGAGACAAGCTGACAGTCCATTTTCCGGTCCCTTCATCCCAAGAAGACTGCGTGATTATCGTAGAAGTCCACACATTCAATTCGAGTACCTCAACATAAGACTCAAGCCAATTTGCCATCTTGTCCTTGGGTGTATGAACAGGCCATGTTGCAGGAAATGGAAGATAAGCTAAGTGATCAAACCAGACAGGATCATGCAGTACCAAATTATGATAGCGGGTGCGCCAGTTGTCACCCACCCGCTCTGCCCGATCTACAACGAGTGATTTGATGCCAAGAGCTTTGAGTCTAGCCGCAATACTCAATCCTGCTTGACCAGCACCTACACATCATCAGCTCAGGCAATTGCAGTATGAGTATGATGCACTCACCAAGAATCAGGACAGTTGGATCTCCATCTTCTAGTTTGCGCTCGGATTCCCGACGATCAAGCCAGTTGAGTGAAGTATCATGTCCTTCATAACCATTTGGTCTCCTAGCGCCGACCCCCTCTTCATGATCTTTCAACTCCATCAAGTGAGTAAAGAGCGTATACACCTTCCATACTCCATGATCTTGAATAAGATTCACGATACCAGCACCTCTGCCCACGTCTGTCTCCACTGTCAGGAACGCAACGACAGTGTGCAACGGCCCAATGGTAGACGATCTAGGGGATCGAAGTGCTGAAGAAGTATCGAGCTTGATGGATTTGATGCGGATACCTTTTTCTGATTGTTTCAAGATTTTAGAGATCCTGTCCGGACCTTGAAGTGTGTGAAAATCCCATGACAAACAAAGCTGATCCCGCCAGTAACCTTGAGCTTGAAACAAACCGACAACTGCTTCAACATCAGGTGCTTCAAGGGCCCTGTTGAAGCTATCGACGAACTCGTTCGCGACCTCAATTGGGTCGTTGCATTCAGATGTGTTCAGGTCGGGAAATGTAGCAACATTGAGTGGAAATGAACCTGGTTCAATGCGATTAGCCGACTCCGTGGCACTTGATTGACCTATGTCGCCCATGATGTCTACTCAAGACTCGTTGCGATCGCCGTTGAATGTTGTTGATTCTACATGAAAGGACTGAGCGGGGAAGTTGCATTCCACCACTTCTCAACACGAGGGGGCTTGCACGTGAAATGTTGTGTAGCCTATTGGTGTGGAAAATCTTGGGTCTGCAACCAGTCCTGCAGTGGAGGAGGCAACTTTTGCGTGGAACAATGATTGGCCACCTGCAACTCTCAATCCACTTAACGCCAGGGTAATAATACATTTAATGAGATGAAATTGCGAATCGCTAGAATGAAAACATACCCCGCACGATGCATATACTTTTTGTTTACATCTAACCCTAGACTTGAGTACAATTATGGCCAACTGGGCTTTCGTCGTCATCGACCAGGTCACAGCTCAGCTTCATCCATCCAGTCATTCAAATCTTGAGGCCACTGTTGGTGCATCTGGAGATTCTGATTCACTCCAAGATGTGGGTGCAGACCTTGACGTATATTTTCAGCAGTTTGGTGGGCATTCTGCCAGAACCAGTCGTGTTTCTGTTGAAATCTCTTTGAATTGCCTTAGTATAATATTCAGGACGCCATCAGGGGAACAAACGTTTGGGCCGTCGTGGTTCCAATCTGAGCCCATGCTTCTAGGGTTGATCGGCCTTCCACGATTTAGTCTTCTCGCCATTTTGCTCCATTCATCCATCGTGAACCTCGGATATGAGCCTGGACCCAGACCATCAACGCCACGTCTGTAAAAATCATCCGCTATATGCCATTCTACATATTTTCTCGTTTCGGGGTCGTATCTTTGCCTCCCACGAGACTTATGTGGCTGAGAGTTCTCGAGGTACTGGGCGGACCGCATGTGGTATGAATCCCTGAGACTTTGATTAGAATTGACACGGCTAGGATGAATCGATGTACCAATTTCCCCATTCTTCTGGAGCAATGGGTGTTTTGGATTTTTTCCTTTGAATAAAAATATCCGGTCCACGATTAGTGAGAACGTCGCCCATGCGTCCAAAGAAGCCGCCATGATCATTCCTACCCTTGGGGCCATCCTTGGGCCAAACAAACTGGAGTTTTCTAGGCATGGTGGATGGTTCGAATACAGAGGAAAGTGATAGAGAAAGAATAAGAAGGTTTGTGGCAATTATATAGAAAGTAGAAACTTAGCTTCACCCATTGAATCGTATAAAATGACTCTTCAACAGCAAAGCATGTGCAAGTTTGAAGTTTGAGGCTTGCCATTGTTTCAATGCGTGCTTGTCAAGCTGCTGTCAATGATTTCCATAGAAACCACCAGCAAACGCCTTTACTTAAGTGTTGTTCACGTAGCTTGCTCCAAACTCTACGCTGTCGTTGTCGATGACAAGATTTCCGTTGAATATATTGTGAAAAACAAGAACACAACTCAAGAATCGAGACTGTCTAGGAGCAAATGATGCTGCGCAATGGCCAAGATGATTCTGACGTACGGCTTGGGGTTGCTGCAGGCAGCTGAGCGGTCTTGTGCGACTTTAAGATAAAGTTGTTGTTTGCATTTCGATTCCGTTTGATGAGAAGGCGAAAGGAAATCAGGGGAAGCGGAGTCTGAAATCTGACCACCTGGGGCAGGCCCTGCAAGGCTTTGGAAAGGGCAGGGCTGAGCTTGCAGCAAAAGTGTGGGGAAGTTGCGGCTCATGCACGGACCATCGGGAAGTAAACACACGTGCACGTGCATGCAGTCAGCGACGCGACGGAGGGTCCTAAACCTTCGAGACTTACAACACCATATTGCGTCTTAACTGCCATTCGTTTTTGCAACAGTTTACCGCCTAACTATAGGCGTCCGCAGTTCTTTTTTGCGCCACTCGAAGAGAATCAACTCTCATTCATATACCTTACAAACACACAGAGAAATCAACGCGTCGTTGATTCGAATACCGCGACGGATCCAATTGCGCAACGATTCGAAAGTGACCATCTCTACGGACGAAATTGCCTTTTACCTCTTCGAAATCTTACGCGACTCGATCATATCCAGGCCATCTGCAGAAACATTCTTCCCTGTAACGATCCTCTCGAACGGACTAGGAAAACTTGTCCCGCACTCTACTACTCACAACGCCCTGTTGCGTTTTTGGACCAGCCCGCTGTTGAACGCGTCTAAACACCTGCTGCAGGACTAGAATCTGCGTCCACAGTTGGAGCGCTGCTGCCTCCAACCGATTGTCTGTTTACGGCCAATCCAGACCGAGGCCCTGTTCGACGCCCACCTCGACTACGAGTACGTGTTGGATAAGCATTATGAGATGTGTTAAGGAATCTGCTTGAATCATACGTGTCGGTTGGCTGCAGTGATTGTGACAGTATTGAGAGGATAAGAGGTGGTAATTTTGTGGGGAACTTCCATTTTTGAATATCCTGAAAGTACCGGCACACTTGAAGATGCCCACCATTAGTGTCAAGCCTGAATCTGGCCAGCATCTCCAGGAGATTGCTGATGCCTTGGGCAAATCTAAAAGAGTCGTCGTTATCACGGGTGCTGGAATAAGCACAAACTGTGGTATACCGGTTAGTGGGCCTATTCGTTCCCAAGGGTAGAGTTCGACTAACGTTTGCGCAGGATTTTCGTTCGGAAGACGGTCTTTATTCTCTGATACAGGCACAATATGACAAATCGTTGGAAAACCCTCCTTGGGAACAGGCAAATACTTTCGATATCGATGATAGACCGAAGAAGAGAAAAAGGCCCTCGTATTTCTATGAAGTGGTCGCTCCGGATGGAAATGTCGTTGGAGTCATTGATGATGAAGATACACCAAAATCTCCCAAGCAGTCGACGCCGGAAACCAAATCTTCTGTATTACTTGCATCCAGTAGTCCTCTGAGTACCCGTTCAACAACGCCCTCTGTTGATCTATCCGACTTGGATAATTCGACTCAGCGAACTTTCCAATCACACTCATCTGCTGGTAGTATCACTAGTGAGAGTGAACCTTCTGAGGAACAATCACAGAACGCTGGCGATGAAGTTAAAGTTGAAGCCAGTGATCCAAACCCCGAAGCTTCGTGTAACAATCCGAATATAACGAATCGTGAATGTGCTTCCGGATCTCGAAGATCTTCGCGAAGAGTCATGCATTCGAAAAATCCGACGAAGGCAGACTCTGCTCCTTCGGAACCGTTCAGCCGCCAGATATCACGGTCGAGTACACCCAATAGCAGAGGAACGTCAAGGGAACCACCTACCTCAAATTGTAGGAGAAAACCTCTGCCTGGAACAAGACGTCACACTCTGCAGGCGGAGGAATCAAGTTTCATGAGCTCAACATCGACATCCGATGACGAACTTCCAGCAACGCAATCATCGCAGTCTTCGCGTACAAGTCTGCCAAACATGAAAGGCAGAGATCTGTTTGACTCTATGATTTGGTCAGATCCATTCACAACTTCAATCTTCTACATGTTTATATCCTCGTTGCGTCAAAAGATCCAGAATGAAGTCAAATCAACCACAGAAACTCATGATTTTATCCGCGTCTTACGTGATGGAGGTAGACTTGTCCGAAACTACACCCAAAATATCGACTGTCTGGAAGAACGTTTGGGGTTGTGTACGGAACTCACGCGTGGGCCGGGCAATCGAACGCGTTTTCACTCGAAATACCAAAAAGAGCCCCGACCGTGTAATATCGACGAGCAGTCTCCTCACAATGGAGGAGTCGAAGTTGTCCTCCTCCACGGCAGCTTGGCTGATCTCAGATGTGGAATATGCGGTAAATTATCAAGTTGGAAGGAGGACGACCGAGAAGCTGCCACGCTTTCCGGGCAAGCACCCGACTGCCCGTCCTGTACAGAGTACAATGCCAAGCGTACTGGAAGAGGAAGAAGGGGACTAGCAGTAGGGAGATTACGGCCAGATATCGTCCTCTACGGCGAGGAACATCCTCATGCAAACTTGGTGGGCCCTTTGATAACACATGATTTGAGTCTTGGCCCAGATGTTCTGCTAATCATGGGAACGAGCTTGAGGGTACACGGATTGAAGGTGATGCTAAAAGAGTTTGCTAAAGCGGTACATCTGCGTGGCGGCCAGGTCGTCTTTGTCAACAGAACCAAACCTTCTGAAAGCACTTGGGGAGACGTGATTGACTACTGGGTAGAATGGGATTGTGATTCCTGGGTGGTAGACTTGAAGCAGAGGAGGCAAGATATCTGGTTACCGCAAGGTACAGTCCAAGACATCAAGCCCAAAAGAGAACCTGTCGCACCTATGCGAAAGAAAGAACCAGTTGAGGCCGCACCGAAAGGAACATCAGACGAAAATCTTACAGCAAATGGGAAGAAACGCAGGTGGCAGTGCCTTAGAGATGACGACGCGAACGGAGCTATCGTTACTCTCAAAATATTAGACACTCTGCGGCTGTTTCTGGATTCTGGAGGCGCTATTGCTAGACGTGGCCCCTACTTTAAAAAGCCTGACAAACCTGCATCGCGGTGTTCGTTGCCAATTCCTAAACCCACTAAGAGAGAGCCAGCGCCAAAACGAAGGACGAAATCTTTGGCTAGGCTGAATACAACCCCACTACCCTCCGGGGGTATCAGAAAACGTCCATCACTCCCCAGAAAACAACATCTTGTACCTGCGGGGATGGGAAGAGAGTCAAATGAACACTCGAAGTTTCGCTTCCTTCAGAACAGACCTCGTCAATCTGGCCCCGGTCCTCTTTCAGCTATCTCACCATTCAAAGCTCCAGATCCGCGCAGTTTTCTCAGCAAGACACACTTCTTTTCTAATTCCAACTCAAACCATATGCCGAATATCATGAGCACGGCAGAGATGAATTTGCTGTCTCTTCCGCCCAGAGGTGTTGATCCGCCAGCTCATACTCCAAAGGATGTTCCCAGACTTGAGGCCACCATTGCGACCGCGAGTCATGCCCACGAAATACCCTCCATACAGCCTTGTTCCCCTTCTGAGCCTCACGCTACTCAAACCCCCCAGAGTTCAGCGATACCCCCGTTTTCCAGCTCAAGTTACAATGAAGTTACTGTCGCCAAAACTCGCACTTACCGCACCCGCTCTTCATCTCGCTATTCAGCTTCTACCTTACATGAAGTTCAAAGCGCTACGGCTCTCCCTAATGTCGCTCGGCGCTGTTCAGCTGCTCATAATCAACTTGTCGACTCCATTGACACTCTCAAACGAACTTTGCGATCAAGCTCCAATGGTAACGATCAACAAACCCGGTCCAACTCATGCGGGAATAACCTGACCAGTATACCATTGCCCATTCAAAATATCAGAGCTAATTCATCGCTGCCATCTCCACCGCCCAGCGGACCTGCTAGTGATCCCCTGACGCCGGAATCTCGACAGGGAATGATCAAGCGAAAGAGCAGTATTGAGAATATCCTCAGCAGCCCAGTCGATGAGAACTTCCATAGCCCTGTTGATAAAAATGAAGTTTGGCACGATGCGAGGGATGCTATTGGGTCTTGAATTTGATGTGTGATGTACAATAATTATGGGACGGGGGTTTGGCTCGTAACGCTGGCTAGGTGTTGGATGGAAGATCTTGGGTGCTCATGGGTCGTTGGAAATGATTTGATTGATATCCCATGTTTGTTCGAAGCTTCGAGGGAATTGAAGCCCTGTCTGTGAAACACACTTTGATTGTCATAGATGTCTGCATATGGCCTGTGGGCGACGAATCATGTGGCATTCAAAACGTGATGAAACGCTCTATCAACTTGATATGATATCATCTAATTCATATGTTGTTCATGGCAAGATGTTCTCAATTTCACCTTGGGAGCTATGTCCCGCATCGTTGTAAAAGGTTTCATATTATGAGGATCCCCTTAGTCTTGTGCTTGTGGCGCATGGCTGATGTTTTCGAATTGATTTCGTCGTCGTGAAGATATTTTTCTCGGTATTCAATCTCGACATGACGGGAATAGAAGGCAGGTGTCACAGAGTGACGGAAGCCACCTTAAACACCCGACCAAAACAATTTGTCAAAAAAAGAGCAGCATCGCTTCTGAACAAAGTGTCTAGCTTTTCCGACCCTTTGTTACAATCCGAAAGATACTCAACCTCGCTCCAGCAGCCCAACTTGATCTTCACAACACAAACAGCTACCTAGGTAATTTCTCCTCCACCTACCACCCCAAACCCCAAATTCCCCAAACTCTCCTCCCATCCTCCTCCTCAAACCTCAAAATACAACCCCCAATGCCCCTTACACCCCGGATTCGTGCCCTCCCCACAATTCCCACAGCGATCCCCCGCATCCATATACTCCTGAATACTCATGATGCCCTCACACTTCCCACACAATACCGCTTTCTCCTCCCGTTCCACCTTACTCCAGACCTGAGGTGGGTGGTCGGCCAGCGCGGCGTGACACGATATACAAGCGTAGAAGGTGAGACAGCATTTGTGTTTTATGGCGATGATGTCGAGGGGTGTGTTGTAGTGCACACATTGGGTGGGAGGAGTGAGGGAGAGGCCGTGGACTTGGGGACGGGTGGACATTTTGTGGGTGGAGGGTGTGATGTGAGAGGGAGGTTTTGTTGGGTGTGATGGAGGTTGTCGAGGTTGTCGTTTTAAAGGTGCGCCCCACTGTAATTTAATCGATCGTTCTAGATCGAGACTAATAATTCAAATCCAACACCGAAGTCCTCGGGTTCCGATGAAAGATAATTGCCTTGCCGTCTAAAACGTTTTGCGATTCTGCGTCAAGTCAACGCTCATTAACCTTGATCGGTATAATTGGTACTTTTATCTTGAAAGACTGTTTCACACTGCGCAAAAACATTCTGCTGTGCAATGTGCAAGTTTCCGAAAGACATTGATTATCAGTGGATTAGGTCTAGCTACTGGTTTTGTAATGAGGCATTGTGTGTTTCAATGCCTTTTAATATTTTTGAGGATTAGTGACGAGACAAGCCAGTTAGCAAGAATTTCTTGAACAAAAAAGCAGGTTATTTTGTGACTAGATATAGCTCACAATTCGGATAGAATGTTTAGTAAGAATTCTATTGATACAGATGCTTGGAGAGAATGGTAAAGAAATGCTAAGCCTTTGAGATTAGACATCTCTTGAAGCTAGAATATGTAGTGAGAGGATTGATTGTGAAATAATACATTTTTGCTAACCAAGCCTTACAGCATCTTCACGAGAAGGCGGAATTTTCAGAGGCCGTGCGTAGTTCAATTCTAGCAGCATATACTTGTTGAATAAGGCACATGTGAGGTTTTACTGGGAGGAAAGTTCTACAGACTGTAAAGATCGCTTGAAACATAAGCGTTGGAGGGAGTATCGAGGTTTCTTATTATTTAGTCTAAAAAATAGGCAAAACAGGTGGGAACCAAAACATGATATTCAATAATTAGCATCTTAGTTGACGCCATGTGAGAGTCAGGGCCATGAAAGTCATGATCCTACTATTAAGCACAATCACTCAGTTAAGAATCATCAGCGACTCACTTCTCCGTTCCGACTTGATTCCCAGCAACGCAAACTCCCAACACCACAGCCCCCCCTAAATCCCACCCTCCTATCACACTCTCTCACCCCTTCACCACCGCCCTCTCACCCCTCCCCCCATCGCCGCCCAAACCTGCAACCCCCCCTCCACACACTGCACCAATCCAAAAAGAAACGTCCCGCCCACAAGCACCATCGCAACCCAAAACCACTGCACGCGTTTCCGATCATCATACCACCACTGTTTCACCGTCCTCGGCTGACTCTCATCGAAATACTGTTTCAAAACCACGAGCCGGTCGTGCCAGTACCTGAAATGCGCGATCTGGCGGTGTTGCAGGGTGAGGTGGCCGATAGAGGGGAGGTTGATGTCTAGGTTGGGGTTTTGGCGGGTGTGGGTACGGAACCAGGTGTGTGTGGAGCGGTCGTGGGTGGGGAGGAGGAGGGAGAGGGTTTGGAGGGTTTCGTTGACTAGATGGGGAGGGAAGAGGGGACTACGGGCGTGAGTGTGTTTGAGTAAAGAGAGGCGGGATACGGACTTATCTTTTTGCAGGTCCAAGAAATCGACGCAGTAGAAGATATTAAGCACCGGTATTTTACCATCTTCATTGAAACGTAGATGATCGAGCAAGTTTGGCGTCCATTGAATCTTCACATCGGTCATTCGTTCGATGTTCCGTGCGTTGAAGACTTTCTCGAGCTTGACTGAATCGGTCAAGATTATCTCGTGTTGGAAATGAGATGCCAAGAGGTCTTTGACTGAGCCAGAGGACCAGGTGATTCGCGTCTGGCTTGTTATACCCTGAAATGTAGTTTCGGTGTTTATCATGAGCCATAATCTCGCTACGAGATCAACAATACTGTCAACCTGCTCGTGTGAATATAAATTTCCCGTCTCTCCGTAATTGGTGACGGGTGCCATTATCTTGATGTCTTCTTTCGAATAGCCATTTTGAAGTTGTCTCAATACGGCGAAAATGACTTCCCGATTGAAGGTGTTGTAGTGTGGATGATCATTTTGTTTCGCTTGCCGCCACTGATTTTCGAAATAAGAGAAATAAGCCTCGTATTTGGTTGACTTAGCCGCATGCTCTGAGAATCTGTGGTGGAAGAATCCGGATAATATGCTTTGCTTGTCTAAATCAGTAATTCGAAGTGTGGAAAGTTGGTGGATGTCTGGGAGACTGGATCTGCAGGATGTTAGTAATGAAAACATTTGTATGTTATCGAATAACGCCGCTGACTCCAAAGCAATTTACACATTAAGACTGCAAGATGGGTCATTGATGACCTTATAATGTCGATTTGGGGGCGAGGCTGTCGGCAAAATACCCTAAGCGAAGCAAAACTTTGGATGAAATGAACTTGGTGAGACGAGAGACGAGGGTACTCATGGAACGAGCTTCCAAGCGTCTCGTAGTGAACGTTATATGATGTAACTTGCGCCGTAAGCTTGCATTCGAGAAGATCTTGCCTTCTATGCACAAGACGAGGCAGCAATTGTTTGCGATGCTAACGGTTATGTAATTTCGTCCCTTTTATTCTTTAGCGCCAAAATATTTCAATCATTTCATAATCCAGAGTACCTTGAGAACAGCCCTCGTCTACGTCTACTTTTCGTTAAGTTTCTCATCCCCCTCGCAGAGCGCCCAACACCCCAGCCCCAACGTCTGAAAAAAAGAATGCAACATCATCACCAAGTTTTTCTTCTATATCCTTGGCAATAGTTACTGCTGGCACTACATACGCAAACTTACCCCCTGGTACACCAGTGACGATGTGTCCATAAAGAGCACCAGTTACAGCATCTAAGACCCAACAGCCCGAGTCCCCTTTTTCTATTGAGCTTTAGTAAGTTCAAATCAGGAAATTGGATCGATAAAGGCAGGAGACTACTTACGCAAATCATCATCTAGGTAGACACTCCAAACTTCTTGAAACTTGGCTCCCGTGGAGAGCTTGATCATAGAGGGGGTCTGGGAAATAAATCCGTAGGTCCGACTGGCGCCCCGACTAATAAAGATTGGGAGTGTCTTTGAAACTTTTTGTTTGATGCCGAGTGGAGACAAAGACAAAGTATGCCCAGTTGCAAAGGGTAATCTAATGAGAGCCCAGTCCAGCCCGAGATCTGAACTAATCGATGATGCATGATCCTGTATTTGCCGGTGGGAAGCAGGTATGGCTGAAGACAATGCTTCTTCATCTGGGATAGATGGAGAAAAACTTCCCATAGCAACAGACTCTTGCCAGTAGTCCTCCCGCGCAGAAGATATGATTGATACTAAGCGTACTTGTGAAGTTTTACTCTCGTTGTTGCGGCCTTGAGCAACAAGTACAGTAGCTCGTAGCTTCATCTCTTGAGTTTGAAAAGAAGAGATGGAGTTGCCAGCGGGTCTGGTTTGTGACGGTGTTGAAGATACGCTAATGCGACTGTCGAATTCGACTTTGGTAGAGTCGTCCTCACTATCTACTGTATCGTCATCATCATCAAATTCGAAATCATCCTCCAGACCATCAGCCTGACTGATGCTATTCCCGATCGAGGGATGAGGACTTTCAAACAAATGGGCCGCTGTCATTGCGTACATTATGCCTTTGCACGTTACGCAACCCCCAATAGTCGCGTGCCGTCCGGTCGAGACACAAGTGACGGATGTTCCACTGCGAGCTAAGACGGTTCGCGAGGATTTCGAGTGCTCAACTGTGCCTTTAATCCGTTAGTTTTTACATAAGCTTAGAGAATCTTGTTGGCAGCCATGCACTTTTAATTGCAAGACTGTCGGGACACCTCCCGTAACTGTCAGAAAAGCGCTTCTCAACGCTTCTTCCCAAAAAGGCATATTGGGCACTTCAAATAGAGACACTATTGTATAATAACTCAAAGAAAAAAATTGACTAGATATAGGTTTGAGCCCAAAATCATTATGCTACCATGAGTAGGCGTCCCGTCAGACCTGCAACATATGATAATACGCAGACAATGTTTCTTTCGAAAGAGAATTTTTGCTGTATCCTGAAATCTTGCACGGAATATTTATTTGCTGACTGACCTGAGATTTGCATGGCATTCGAATCAACTGCAATTGTACAATTTCGGGCTGGGATTGCTTCGATATCCAATGATTGGTGTGTCGGTTCCCGCATTTGTGGCCTGATGGCACAAAATTCAAGAGTCCTTGAACGTAAGGGAGATACCTGTTGGACTTCGAATTGGTGTGCATTCTCCGTACGTGGACCCCGAATAGCAGCTGGAGAATAATACTCGAAAGATTCACTAGAACGACCAGCTTCGCAGCGAGTCAGATCTGATTACTCCATTAAGGGGGCTCTCAACACTAAGTTACTCACTGTTTCCAATACGATCAACCTCAGCCATATCGGCCATGTGCCGGCGTTTCCTTCTCCGAAAGAAAATGAGAACGAAAAACAAGGTAAACAATAGAAACGACAATGACCCTACGACAGCCACGATGGTTAAAACCGCATCATTTTGTTGTGAATCATCAGTGACTCTAATACCGATCCCAGATTTTCCGACTGTTGTCGTCTCACTGGGCAGTTCCTCCCCGGAAAGCAGTTCTAAAAAGCCCACACCATAAACAGAAGGCGGAGAAGAGCAATTCGCTACCCTTATCTCTGGATAGGGGTTCAAGATCTTGCTTTCCTTCAGAAACTTAATCGCCCGTTTTCTTACCTTTAAACTCTTGCAGACGAACAAGAGCATTGGCCTCGCGACAGATGCATCCTTCCCAACCATGTACATGCTGAACGTAAGTACATCTCCTGCAACATGTTCGTGAGCTTCAAGATCATCAACTCTGGCATCAAGCAGATTTTTGATGGGTCCAGCAATCAAAGTGAAAAGATCGGTAGCTGGCCCTATAGCCTCCCAGCACTCCGTGCCTGCGATGGGGTTACATTTATATCCAAGCGAGAGCTCAGGCTTGGGCCATGTCCAGTCTTTGGCAGCGATGCGATTAAATATTCGTTTTGAATTGAACGATCGCACAGTGCTTTGAGCCTGTGATGAATCATTAGGTCCCGATTTAGAAGTTCTCGCAATAGCGAAGGCGCCATCTATAACTTTTGCTATCTTTTCCTGCGTGTTGAGTTTGTCTCTGCTTTGGGTCTCTGCAACTTCCTCCAGTCTTCCATCTCGAGGCTTTTCAAGCCAGCGCTCCTCTAAGTGCCCTGCCCCAACATTCGACGCCAGTTGCTGATAATTTGGCAACTGAGCTAGGTTTGTCTTCGATAATGGCTTGGTGAAATGGATTGGCCGATCTGACAATTGATATCGATTTGTCTCTGGCAAAAGACCCGAATAACAAGTTCTGACATCTTTTGAATCGTGCAAAGTTTCGCACGACAGCAGATCACCGTTCAGACGGGGCTCTTTCACAGTATTGCCATTGTCGCCATACTCTGTATCATCATTTGTCGTCCAGTGATCGTGGACTGAAACAGCTATTCCAATCTTCTCTTCTCGTTGTAGAACGTTATTGTGAGTCGCCGACCGGATTGGACAACTTGGATGTGTTTCAACCTTTCCCAGGCATAGATCTGTCAATGGTACCCGCGGCCACAAGATATCTGCGATTTCTCGGAAACTCGGTTCAGATCGAGGTCTGACTATCTCCATTCCTTCTGATATAACATCCAATGCCAGAAAAATATCATGAAACATTGGTCGGTGGAGATTCCGAGATATACAAGTGCCGTGACGTGGCTTGGATCCCACTCTGCAAGAATGCATACACATGCATGAGAAGGTTGCAAACTACTAATTCTGCCTGGCATCCATATAACGGTAGAACGTTTTCGGTTGTTTAATATAAACTTGTATCACTTCAGGGTCATGTTAGCCGAGTTGCCGCTACTCATAATAAACGTCAACCAACAACCTGTAGTCCCTGGTAGTCGTGCCACGATGGGGCATGCATCCGGAATATTCAGGTGGCACACGAATTTCTTCTCGGCTTGCTGAAATGGGTTATTAGATACGCAAGTTGAATATTGGCGTGATTGACAGTTGTTTCGATGATAGAACCTCATGTATGCTGTATCACGTGCAGTCCAGTTTCCTTTCCTTCGACTTGGCATATCCATGAATTCAACTCCTTGGGATTCCACATTGCCGGGAAGAGTGACGATCGCTTTGGTTGCAATTTCTGCACTTCCCACATCACGGTCGCATGTTAGCTAGTGAGCCTCCTCTTGCAGCCTCAATCAACCCATTTACCAGTCTCCTCGTAGCTCTTCTCTGAGCACTGTGAACATCCTCATCCGCTCCAGGATACAAGAATTTGACTTTCCCTTCCGCACCCAGCACAAAGGCATCGCACGCAATCCTTATGACCTTTACTCTTTCGTGCTTGAGATCCAGAGCGAGATGTGCGTTCACATATGCCGTCAAAGCATTCCAGAGAGGTGTATCTTCCTGTCCGTTTCCCGCAACCTTTCCTCTGGCAATGATCCGCGGTAGATCATCTCGTGAGAGCTTGATGTCCATTGTTTTTAGCGCGGAAGAACCGCCTGGGAGATTGAATCCGATGAACACCTCCACGGCACCCATCACATTCTTCGTTGCCCGAGTACTTTCCAGCGCGTCGAGTTGTTCTCCTTCTTCATCCACACAGACATACGCAAGATATTGTTCGAACGCTGTTGTAACATAGGAGCTTGGAAATTGAAGCGCAGATATCCTCGCATCGAACGTCGTAGCCAGAAAATCCGTAAAAGCATCGCGGAGCGATACAGGCATTTTAAGCAACAGCAACGGGAAGTGCTCAAACCCATCCACGTCCGAATTTTCCCCAACGTTCGTTTCATCCCAATCCCCAGGTTTGATATCCCTCAAGAGAATAGCCGTATACTCCATCTTCTCGTATGCGATCCTCAAAAGCAATCCGCGACTCTCACTCAGAATCACCGTTGTATCTTCGTCCCCCACGACTTGCCCGGTCTGCCCATTCCAATTCTCCTCGAATGGCAATTGTGTCCATGTAACCGTCTGCAAAGCTCCCATATGTGCTAAGGTAGAGTCCTCGTTGTCAGTTCCGACTCGAACGCCGCGAAGGACTTCTCCTGTGAGGATGTCGCGGAATCGACGGGCTTGATCGCGGAGGATGGCATCGTCAAGAGGGTCGTCGAGGCCGGTGTGTAAGGGAGAAACGCGGTGGAGTGAGAAGGTTGTATCGTAGAGAGGGTAAATCTGCGACTCGTCTGCGTTTGCAGCCATTGTGTGGTCTGGAGAAAGCTATCCAGGTCCCCTGGTGGGGGTAAACAAAGTCGTTGCGGGGTATGATTGATGGACAATTATGGAAGGTTTAACGTGGTATTTTAGGTTGAAATTTCTTTAAAATATTATGAGAAAACGTATCTCTCAAGTGATATCGTGGGCGTTGCAGAGGATCAAAATATTGTGGTTGTGTTGACTTGGATTGGGCGGTTGACGCGTTGGCAAAATTCCCGACGATCACTTCGCGAAATTCATCAAGACGTACTTTTTCCAACACCTGCATCAGTTCCAAAATATCATCCCAATTGCTAGACTATGTGTTTTGTTACTCGACACTATTCTGCTTTCAAGTGCTCGGCGGGTCCTACGATACCTGTTCGGTCCTCATTTGTTCACAAATTTGATGGTTTCTGTCTCTGGAGAGTTCTTCCTTTATCTCCACCGCCTGTTGCGATGTGGGTGTAATTTGCACCCATTCTTGTCTTCATCCTATGTGTTGCTTCATTTCTTAACCTGTCAAAGCATCCCTAACGTGCTCCCGGAGGCGTCTTTAATGCCTCTACCTTGTGTGTCAGACAATGCAACGATAAAAAGCATCTAGAAATGTTCAAAGTGCATGTTGTCGTCTCCTTTAGATCCGCTGCTTCTTCGATGCAAACATCTATATTCAAAAATACCGCCAATCTTTTTTCCAGTCTCAAATGCTACACCCTTTTCGTATCTGCTATCGTTACCATCTTCCAAACGGAGGCGTAAACTTATGAGGTTTTGAGCTCCTGAAAATGGGACTTTTTACCTTTGTCAAGCTACGCATCCGATGCAATCCAGTCTATCTGGACATTTCTTATCCTCACCGAGATCCCTCAAATCTCACCTTCCTGAATTACATTTTGTGTTTCGTATAAGTCTTGGCATATCGTCAATTACAAAATGTCATTGGTCTTGCTGCATCGTATTTCCATTTTCAGACCCGAGCCGAATGTCACTATGATGACAGAAATCATTGCATGAAGCAACTTCAATGAAGCTTATGTCTATGATTTCGTACTGGCCAATTGCACCTCAACATTTTGTAAGCTTATTCAACGCGTTTGTTTTGGATTTGCCTTCAATGTGGTAATTGTCGCATGTGAGAATATATAAATCAGAATGGATTTGTGTGATGTACAAACTACTGGCACCGCTAGCTAAGGACTCTTCATTTGATAGATTGTCATAATTTTTCCCTTCAAAATGCATCTTAATACAGCCCTGGCCTGGTCGAGCATAGCTGCGACAGTTGCTTATGCTTCAACACTTCTACCGCGCCAGACGACCTGTCCGCCAGTCTGGAGCCAAATTACGCAGGAGCTATCAGGAGCATTCGAAGGAGGAAAAGGGTGTGAACAGATAGCTCGCGCTGCAATACGCGCAGCATTCCACGATTGCTTCCCTGGTCCAGGATTTTGTGATGGCTCTTTGCTCACCAACAATGAGATTGACTGGCCAGTAAGTCGAGGTATGGAAGATATCGTGGCACTTTTGCAAGATAAAGTAGCGAGATATGGGGTTGGAAATGCAGATATGATCCAATTTGCAGCTGGTAAGACCGAGATCGAGCTCAGTCTAGACCTTTTACTAAATTTTACAGCCCATGCAATAAGAAGTTGCACCGATGGACCCCAATCCAGAATCAAAATCGGTCGTACAGATTCTCACACACAGTAAGTCAATCTTCAACTATTCGCATCTAACTCTAACACATCCAGGGGAATACAAGCCGACATCCCGCAAGCCTCATTCACAGCAGACACGCTCCTAGCCTCCTTCGCAGCCCGCGGATTAGACCATACCGACCTGACCGCATTAATCGGAGCTCATACTTGCGCGAACCAATTCTTCGAGGATGAATCTCAATCTGGAGCATCGCTCGATACCACGCCAGGCACTTGGGACATAACCTTCTACCAACAAGTAGCAGAACAATCTGCGCCATTCACATTCCAAAGCGACGTTAGTATTTCGCGACATCGGGATACTGCTGCTATTTTTGGTGGATTCGCTGGGAATGTCACGCTTTGGGAGGAGAAGTTTGTTCCTGCGTAAGTTTGAATGGCTGCTTGATGTGAGAATGGGCTGATGCTAATTTCATTAGGATGGAAAAGATGGGCATGCTTGGTGTGACGGATGTTGATATGATTGATTGCACAAGTGCGTTGCCTCACCAGCCGGTCGTTACACCACCAGAGGAAACGCAGGAGTAGATTTACTCCGTTTGTTTGATCTCTTTAATGAGTATAATTTGGGAAAACAATAGAAGTAGATCGTGGACTAGATTGGGTGGACTAAATTAGATAAATCACATCCATACCTTTGACCGTCTTCCATGGCTTCACAGCTCAGTTGTGTCTCATAATTTACCATCATTTGTTTCTTTGGTGGTCAACTTTCGCTACGGTATACAATTGAAAGTTGAAACCTTATGCAGCTCTAAACTTGATGTCCTTTTCAATATCCTTTCCAATAAATAATAGTTGTGAGATGTTTGACGGTACCTAGGCGGCGGGATCACTGTGGATCACAACATGGAACCAGGAAGCACTTCAGACCCTGGACCAACTGTGGCTGGTAAAAAGTGACAGGTGACTGGACGCTTGTGCAACTTGAGATTCCTGTGCAGTCCACAACAAACCTTTCTCCATCACTTCTTGAAGAAACTCTTCACTCCATGCATATACGAGAAGAGGAGTCGTTTCTCCTTCGCAAAGACCATACTCGACTCCACGAAGCAAAACACATGCCAACATCTGAACAATAAATTTTGCGACACCCCCATCTTTTTTGTACACCTTCGGGTACAGCTCCGGCCCCGATTCCTTGGAACACGCATTACTGAACTGGCGATCCGTACGTGAGGAGTTCGAAAACATGTATGCCGTACCACCTGCGCCATGCTCGCCAGGACTTTCTGTGCATCTCTGTACGAGGCACAAGGCAGCACCTCGTACGCAACTCGAAAGACATCGAGATCGAATTGAAAGGCGCGCAGAAGATAACAATTGCATATCATATGGAAAATGCCATTTGCACCGCATGACCAGGTTATTGCCCCGCGTTTACCTTCTTTGAGCAGTTTCCCCTTGAGCTACCCCTCTCTTCTTTTCCACTTAAGCCACTGGGAGCAGGAAACAACGCCACACGAAACGCGGAGCCCGCCTTGCAAATGCTGCAATGCAGCTCTTGTGCCACATATGGAAGGGGAAACATCCAGATGATAGGCGAATGGTCGAGGCGAGATATGCGTGGAGGAGTCTGCATTGAGAGCGAGCTTCTTCGTCGGACCAGCTTGGCGAAGGACAACCAACCGTGGGCTGTGGAGTGGGACGTGAGAGTACGTCACAGCTGTCACAGAATGGTGTGTTTCCTTGGATTTTCAGGTGACCGCGAATTTCTTTTAAATCTTCTCTTCCTCTTTGAATCTTTTAAGAAGTCTTTTCACTCTAGAAATTATCGATTTTGCGGTGTTGTTGAATCATTGCGATCTTTGTAAGTCTTTAAGTTACACCTTCCGTTTCCTGGGAACTTGGTTGCATGTGCGGGAAGACTAACGTTTCCTAGGTGCATTCTACCAGTCGGCTGCCTACGCTAGCTTTGCCTTTGCAAATAGGACGACCCTTCCTTCCAGTTTCTTCTAATACGTCAAACGACAATTCGACTTCGACTTGTCCCAGAATCTGAATCGAAACCTCACAGTAGCTGTGTCTCGAGAAATTCTCCTACATCAAGATGTCTTCCTCTGGTAAGTTTTTTACTACGGCCTGTATATGTGAGCCAGATCAATACTGATATCCCCCACAGCCAACCCATTTGCGAGACGCGAGACCCATCCAGTACAAGCAATCTGGACCTACAAAGTTCTTACAATCCTCACTTGGATCGTCAATGCCACCGCATGTATCTACTATACATTTGGGATTCCCAACGATGATAAGAAAGGATGGAGAAACTCTATTTGGGGACATAACAAGGCGTTTCCTACACCTTTCTCTCTAAATGCAATCATCGCATCGCTTTATTGGTACGTTTTCCCAGCGGCGTTGTCATTAACCCTACAATACTAACATGTACCGCAGGCTCACCGTTCTAATCCTACAAGTCGGATATATGTGGCACTTGTTCTCCCCCAACTCTTCCCACGTCCAAGCAGCTGCCGGAGTTGGAAGCCACTTCATCTTCAACAATCTCTTCCAATTTGCATTCGTGATGCTCTTCGTCCGGGGACACTTTATTCTCTCCGAGATTTTCCTCATTATCAATTTCTTCAACCTTTCTTCGCTCTACTTCCGCCACAACACGCAATCTCGATGGATCCACATCCCAGTTGCTTCTGGACCACTTGCGTGGACATTCGTGGCTCTGTACTGGAACGGTGCAATTGCAGTTGGAGCTCATCATTTAGCAGCAAGGATTTTGGCCAACGTTGCAATCTGGGGAATCTTGGTCTATGGATTCTTCTTCCTCATTGTCTACAAGGTATGAAGAATTGGTCATGTTTTGAAACTTGGCTATGCTAATTATTTATAGGACTATACTATGGGTTTCGCACTTTCCATCTTGTCCGCATCTCTTGGTGTCCACCAATTTTTCATCAAGACTATCGCATTCCAATGGATCTTTGCCTTTACCATTATGGCCACCTTGTTTGTCGCCACCCTTCTTATTGCGATTCCAGGTATCTTTGGCAAAGAGTTCTCTATCAGACGTGAGGGCGCCGTTGTGCCAGCCGACCAAGAGAGAGCACCACTTCTCGAGGACAACTGAAAACTATTCTCGAGAGAAGCAAGCAGGAAAGGGGACGGAGATATTTCATCGCCAATTCCCCGTGCTCACCAACGCGTGAGTGGCTGCGGGATGAGCAAAGGACGATGTCATATGTGATAGTGGGCGTTTGGTAAAATTTGATATCATTTTTGGGGTGAATGACAAGTACGTGGCCGTTGAGTGCTTGAGATACCAGCATGCTACGTTAGCATCGATTGGGTTTAGCTATTGCTGTTATCATTTGCATAGTTTCCAGGTTGGCGCTAGGTTTGGAGGTCAATCATTTACCATTGTTGCTGCTCGAGGTTCGATCTAGTTATCCAAAAGTATCCTAGCTAGTAAATAAACACACTCTATCTACATCTTATCTTTATATTCATGCAAATGCGAACTTGGAACCAGGGAGTGGAGGTCCGGCGAACACGTCTGCGACCTTCACCGGCCGGCTAATCTATCCTTGCCAGCGGCCCGGGAGTTCCATTTCAGGACTAGCCTTCTCGGTCAGCCGATTTACCGGTCCGATCACCGACGCCGATTTTCAATCGCGCAACCTCCTCTCTTTCCTTTCCCCGTCGACACAAATTTCGAGTCTAGCTGCATTGCTTCATGCCCATATCAATCTCATCATGGATTTTAACACGAATCCGCAGCGTCCGATTGCGATCCAAGACGAGGGTCGGATGTCGCAGGAAAATCGGATGCCGCACCCTCCTCAGATCAACCGCGAATCCGACGCCCGAACCTCTCCGGATCATGGGCAAGCTCATGATCAGAACATGGGAGGGGTTGGCCCTAGCCATGAGGGTATGAAGCCGATGAAGAGGGCGTGTAATGATTGTCGTCAGCAAAAGGTATGAGTTTTCCTGGGTTTAATTGTTGCTTTTGGTCACTGATTTGTGGTTTGGTAGTTGCGTTGCGATGTTGTGCAATCCCCGTTTGCACCGTGTTCGCGCTGTCGCAAGTTGGGGAAGAATTGCACAGTGGATACGCTTTTCAAACGCGTCGGTAGACGAGAGTAAGTTTCTTAACAGTTCTTAGAGAGGTTTGGCTAATGTTTTCAAGTAAATATTCTGAGATGCAACGCGAGATTGAGGAGTTGAGATGGAAATTGCGACGCGCGACTCAGGGAGCCCTTCCTATGCCTCGCCAAGACCCTTCTATTCTCTCTGCTGAAGAGGCAACTGGTTCTGTCAGAACGACGACTAATCGGGAACTTGGCCATTTCACTGTTTCTGGTGAACTTCTTGATGATTTGTTTAAGCAGTATATCAAAATATTTCTAATTGAAGGATCCCGCTGACAAGAACAGGTTCTTCACTCTTTACCATCCGTTGCTACCATTTCTTGACCCAAACCAAGGGCCAGACCACTACTTCAGACTTTCTCCGGTCCTGGGATGGTCAATTGTTATGGTAGGAGGTCGACGATTTGAAAGAGAACCTAGTCTGAGATCTACACTCACTCCCGACTATGTCAAGCTTCTATGGTCAGCCATTTCCGAACCACCGCAGCCTTATCACATTGTCAAGGCACTATGCATTGTCTGCTTTTGGCCTATACCTACCGATTCGCTTTCCAAAGATGCCACGGCTCAGTTGAGTGCTTTGATGATGCAGATTGCGCTTCAGAATATGTTGCATCTTGATCACAGGGCTCAAATTCCTTTCCGGGGAGAGTTGTCGGAAGCGGAGCAAAGAGACAGATTAATGACCTGGGCAGCTTGCAATATTGTAGCACAAAGGTACGAGAGGCTTAGCCCTTCTTGTTGTGCGCTGCTGACCAATTTAGCACCTCCACATACTTAGGCCTTCCCCCAAACACTGTTTACGAAGGTGTCCTTGGTTCGGATTTCACGTTCCTCTCCCCACATCAGATTCCAGATGAGCTTATTGGTCAGCTCAAGGTGGCCCAGCTCTGTAATACTTTTACAAAGGAATTCTACTGTAACGATAACCAGCCAAATGGGCTGGTTGCGGAGTCTGAAAGAGCAAGTATACTTGAAACATTGAGAGCGCTCTACACGCGGTTAGAAATAGGCTTAGCAGGTCACTTGTCATGTAAGTTACCACGAGCTCCTCTCAATGCTTCTCTGATGATCCAGTTATTACTAAGTTGCACCTCGATGCCACCAATGTTCATTTGAACGCATTCGCATTTCTCCTACCTCGCGGTACCGCAGCTTATGATGAAGGGCTACTTGACCTTTACAAAGCTATCTGTGTATTTCTACAAGGCGTCATGGATAACGAAACCTCTACTGGCACACTTCTAGAGCATTGCAGTAGCTTCATCGCTCACACTATCTTCTCATCTACATTCGCTCTCGTCAAGCTGCTCAATAGCTCGTTCGCCGGTAACGTTGACACTGAGCGCGGCAAGGCTTTGTTCAATGGTATCATTCTCGCAGCACGAAAGATGAGCGTTGAAAAGGATGATCTCGCATCACGAGTTGGCACGAGAGTTCCTCTCCTTTGGCGTTCTGTCAGCACGGGTGGTCGATGGTCTCCAACACAACCCGATCCATTGGACTTCCGTATTCAATTCCGGATGAGCGTTAGCCACATCTTCGATTGCCACTGGGCGTTCCGGGAACAATTGAAAAGTAAGGGAACTCCAGGTGCCACCGTCTCAATGGATGGCAATGAAACTCCGGGTGAAGATAGTGCATCACACGCAGAAAATAATGGTCTCGTGAGCGGGTATGCTGGATTACCATTTGCAGGACTTGATCTTGATACGATTGAAATGATCAATTCTTCAGATTGGAACATTGGTGATTGGACTGGATTGCCGGTTGCACCATATGGTTATCAAAGTATTCTGACTGCGTAGGCTGTTGCTACTTGATAGCAAGAAAGGCAATATTTTTGGAATATCAAGGCTGGGAGGTGTATTATATCCATGTTTATTTGGAGTTGTAGTATTGTATTTTGAGGTTGTGGTTGATGAGTTATGACTGTCGCCAGCATCCTCTACCTTCAGGTTGTACTCATGGATGTTGGTATATTGCGAGGCTATCATCAAGAGTAAAAAGTAACATTCAATAATCAGTAAATGCGAAAATTGCGTTGTCTATACTCTTTCTTTCGACAGTGGAGAGATATGCAGAGAAGTGAAATGGGCCTCGGCCAAGGCCGATTGAGGGACAAGATTTAGCCAGGAACAAAACATCAGCCAATAGGATTCCTCGGAAGCCACCCCTCCAGCTCTCAACCTCAACGACTTTTACTTTATTTTTTTCGGATTTGCATGAACAACAAATTGAAAGGTGTAGATCAAATTCAGACCTCGTGTCGGAGAATTCAATGATAATCCACGGCCGGTCTTGACGTAAGTTTTATTTCCTTTTGTTGCTGTGCTCAGCACTTTCCTCTTTTTTCGCTTGAAACTCGTCTGCCCACTCGTACGTGTAACATCGTGGGTACGGAAAGACACAACAACCCTTTGGGCTTACAGACGTTGCGGTACTTACAACATGACAACTTTTACCACTACAGATATAACGGAGCTGCCGATTGAAGTTCACGTAAGTTCTGTCTCTTAGGAAGATTCTACTGTGCTAATTCCAGCAGCATGTGGACCGAATCGCAGAAAGCAATGGGAGCATCAAGTTCGTATCCCCCCAAACCCGCAAATACCCCAACTAACCAATATCCAGGCCATTCAAAGCACCTCCCGGCGACGCCATAACCATCCTCTCCTACTCCCCAGACTTCGACGCCATAATCGGCCCCTCACCAACCCAATCCCTCCTCCTCTCCACCACCACCAGTTCCAAAAACCCCTTCTTCCACGAAGCATGCGTCTACCTCCCCGCCCACAACGAACTCTACATAACCTCCAACCTGCTCCAATCCTCCTCTACCTCCACCTACCCCACCATCCTCATCTCGCGCCTCAAACTCACACGCGCCCCGTCCTCAAACACCATAACCAGTCTCGAATGGGCGAAACTGCGTCCGCCGCAGGGAATCGACATGCCCAACGGTGGCGTAAACTACAAAGACGGGCTCCTCCTCTGCGCGCAAGGCTCGCCCGCGCCAGGTACCGGCGGGATCTACTATATGCCGCGCAACGCGCCGCCGAAGGCGCTCGTGACGAACTGGCACGGCCGCGATTTTAATAGCGTGAATGATGTGGTGGTGTCGAAGCGCGATGGCAGTATCTGGTTTACGGACCCGTGTTATGGGTATGAGCAGGGGTTTCGGAGGAGGCCGGAGCTGCCGAATCAGGTGTATAGGTTTGAGCCGGATACTGGGGAGTTGAGGGTTGTGGCGGGCGAGTTTGAAAGGTGTAATGGCATTTGTTTTGCGCCGGGGGAGGAGAGGTGTTATGTTACTGATACGGGAATGTTGTATGGTGATGGGGGAAAGGATTTGCAGCGGTGAGTTTTGTTGCGAAGAAGTTTTTGTGGCTTTGCTGATTGTGTGTTTGTAGGCCAGCTACTATATACGCCTTTGATGTTGTTCGCACATCATCCCAGCCATATCTCACGAACCGACGCACTTTTGCCTACGCCTCGAATCATCTTCCAGACGGCATCAAATGCGATACTAAAGGTAATGTGTATGCGGGCACGGGATGTGGTGTTGAGGTGTGGAATGATGGCGGTAGTCTTATTGGGAAGATTGTCGTACCGGGGAATCAGGGCGTTGCGAATTTCTGTTTTGGGGTTGGGGCAGAGCTGTTTTTGTGTGGTGAGCAGAGGCTTTGGAGGGTGCAGTTGGGTGGTGGGAAGGGTAAGGGTAAAGAGGAGGTGGATGGGAAAGGGGAGTGGGAGGGGGTTAGAGGGGATTTATTGGGGTTGTGATTGGATTGGGGATAAGGGATGGGTTTGCGGGGGCTGGAGTTTTGAGGATCTTTGGTGGTGAGGGTTGGGATATGGGTGTGGGCTGGGAGATCATAGGGATTGATCAGTGGACAAGGGGGATCGGATAAGAGCAGTGGTCTAGAAATACAAGGTGGTAGGCGTTGGATTATGGGATTAGATCGTATGATAGATTTGAGGGTTGGATATGAATAGACTTATTACTTCATTCTGAGTCCTTTCACATCACACGGCGAGTTGAAACATTTAGGCGTGGGAATGTTCGGGTTTGGTGGGACATTCTTCACCACAGTCATTACCACAGAACCTGTGAAAACGACTTTAGTAGGGGGCTGGAAACTGGAAGTAAAAGATATCTATGGCATGGGATCGTTCGACACCTCCCAAAGTCGATATAATTCACTCGCTGGAGGAGAGAGTGAGTTGTAGAGTTAGTAGGCTTTCTGGCACGCGATTAGTGTGAGGTGTAGCTTGGTTCATTTGGTATCTCCTTCTTGGGTTCGGAAGTTAGGGGGTTGATGGGGGATCTTTCTACTTGGTCAACATGGGATGGGGATCTAGGCTGGACGGTTTTGGGTTTGTGTTGGGTCAGGGGAAGTGTGTTTGAAGTTTAACGAAACTTTACTTGATTGTTTGGCCGGCTGATCTAGTGCCACTATGCGATTTTTGGGGGCAGGGGGTTATTTCGAAGGGATGGAGTATGGGATTAGTTGCTTATGTGCGTGTCTGGCTGGCTACGGGCATGGTATTCGGTGGTTCGATTATTTGATCTTGTGTATGGAATTCAAAACATTTTCTAAATCTACGTGTGATACTTTCGTAGCTATTGGGATGGAGTGAAGAACAGAATCTAAAACTTCATTCAAAGCCGCATCCTCGGCGCTAACCCAGATTACATTGTTCCGTTAGTACGCGGGGGGGAGACGCGATTGTCCCCCTTTCGCTAAGCGAAGTCCCGTGTGACGAGTTTGCATCACGCTAGCTGAGCCCTATCTTCCAAACTGCGTAACTCTAGAAAATGAAATTGAGATATTGCGAGTTGTCGCTAAGAGGTGTGTAGCATAGATTGGAAGTGAACTGTTGAGGTGGAATTACGAGTTTTGGTTAGGAATTTAGAGGTAATTGGTTGGGTTTGATTTGGTGGTGGTATTGGAGAAATGAAAAAGTGCTGCTATATCGGGTGACATTCAGTTACCTTCTTCTAGATGGTATCCACAATGGCTGTGTATACATTCGCAGTTGCAGATCGTACTTTCAAATGTCGCTGGTTTAGTTCGCGCGCTTGGAATAAAATGTGCAGTGCGAACAACACTAGCAAGTGTTCTGAGAATGAACTCTAAGATGAGGGTTGGGATGGTTTAGATTTGTGATGTTCTCTTACTAGTATCCACAATAGCCGTATATGCGTTCGCAGTTGTAGTTCGCAATTGTCTGCTTCCATAGCTCACTGCTCGGTTCTCGCACTTAGTTTTAGATGCGCAGTTTACAC